CCGTGGTAATTAACAACACCTGGCTTTCGGATCATGTTTACCCGCACAGTCAACAAACAACAGGACGTCAAACGCACAGCTAAACCGCAGATAGAATGATATAGGAGGTGTTTTTTGTGGGGGCATTTCCGGGGACGGGATCCCTTTTCGTAAAATCCGACTAGTGGTCTATTATAAATGCTGCTTTCTGATTGGTTGAGCTGCTACTAGGCTATATGTTATAGCCCACTAGTAGCGAAAAGCGCGGGCTTTGAAAACCAAAATAATGGCGGCTGAATCGCGTTTTGCTAGCTACAGTTGTTTTGTCTCGATATTTTTGACCAACTAGTTGGATTTTACTAAAACAATTATTCCTCTCGCACTCATGGCCTCTGAGTCAATAGCCCATTCGGCCGTTGGCCTTACGGGCTATTGACTCGGAGCCCATTAGGGCTCCAGGAATATTTGTTAAATATGACCTATACGGGAAAGTGCCGCTGGACAGGGTATGGTTTTCGTCCTGTCTGTCCTATATAGGGTGTATAACTTGCCCGAGTCTGTCCTAAACAGGGTATACAATTTCGCACAAGTCTTTCCTAAACACTGTACATGTTTTTTGTCCTAAACAGGCTATGTATTTTAAGTTCTTTTTTTGTCCTATAAGCAGAGTCAGGGTTTCAAACCCTCAGCGGCTCACCTCTAGGCAAATATTGGTCGATTACCCTCTTCCCTCCCGGGGAGGAAGTGTTAAATGTCAGCTGGTTAAAACCGAAATTATAATTTAATTTTTCCTTTTTGTTTATTATTGTTTTCTAGCGTCTGGGAATTTATACGTTACCACTTCCAAGTCGTTTATTTTCTCTCTGGTGGACAAGGAAAAACTTGCACCATTTAAGTGCATGGTAAAACAGAAAAGATCATCATCTGCAATTTTTAATATTAATCGTTCTAACATTACGTTGGGTCCAACATTTGGTGCGGGGTATGACATACACATCGCTGATAATGCCAATCAGAATGAAAATTCCTACACTGAATTTGGCTTCTCATACTCTCTTCCAAATGGAGTTACAAACCGTTTAACAATCCTGGCTGGAACCTATCACTTTTCACCTGAACAGGTTGAGGTATTTTATCTGACTTGAGTCCTGTTCAGTCCCCTTGATTTCCATGCGGCGCAACCGTTTGAAATCAAAGACATATAACCTCCCAAAAAATCTAGTTACGAGCTATTGCAAAGCAGAGAGCATCCGAATGACTCAACAGTTTGAACACTATATATAAGGTAGGGATCGATCGACCTTAAAATCCGTGGAAAGCCGCTTAAAAACTGAACTCGCTTTCTTTCAATGTTCACCAATTTTGTCAAATGTAGGTGAACTCCCCTGGACGATATGAATTTCTAAATACTATACCCAAGTTAAGGAAAAGAAAGCAAACTTGTTCTTCGCTTGTTTACGTCCTCCATCAAAAGGTGAAACTAGGCATTTTTCACATAGTAGTCATGTAGTGATGGGAAAGAAATGTACAAAAGAGCGTGATGCACGTGTGCACGTGTAAAAATGGAGTTCTAGCTAATGCTACGTTCAAACGGCACCGGACCAATTTTTTTCACCGAATTCGTACGTTCAGGTGTTCCGTTCTGTTCACACAATCCAATCATCGTAACCGTACAAAAATTTAGACGCTTAGCTGTTCAAAGCCTCCCTGTGTACACAGCGAAAATATCTAGACTGTTCACAGTCCTCTATTTTTCCGTATAAAGATCGTCGAGATCGAGCGCTTTGCGTTAAGGGCAGCCATCTTGCATGAGTGTCAAAACTACTTAGGGGACGAGGGGCGGTTTGGGAGGAAGGAAGAAAATATTTTTCTCGCTCCCTTCCCCCTACAGCTATAATCCCCGACGCCCACCCCCTTGGTACATTTGAAAAACAAGATGGCCGTCATTAACGGTAGACGCGCCATATGTAAACGATATCACAAAAAAAATAGGGGACTGTGAACACTCTAGAAAATATCCGGTTAAATTTTACAGCCAGTTGAAAATTGGTAAACCGGCCTGTAATTACCTTTTGATTTTTGACTTTTTGCCGCCATCGCTGTCCTTGGATCGTTACGTCGTTAATCTGAACGCTATGCAACGGTCTGCGACACGATCGGACCTCTGTCTGTGTCTAACGTTTTCAGACGGTCCTTGACATCAAAGGCAGATATTTGAACTGCTAGCGATTGTAGACTTTCCAGGTTTATTTGAATCGTTTTGGTGCAAAAATGGTGGCAAACACAGGCCTGTCGACGGCGCGACATAGACCAGTCTCCAATCCGTAATCCAGATCATGTTTACCGTATCATTTACGCTTCGCCCACACGGTTTGGATATTTTTGAAAACGGAGACTTGTCCATTTTACTTTTTTTTTTGCGTTTACACTTAGCGTATTTGAATCGTTTTCGCCCGTCTAGGTAAAAACGCTAACACGATGGAAATACAATGATCTGATAACATCCCTATAGCGTGCCTTATCGAGCATGCGGAATGCTAGTAGCACAGTGTTTATGATGTTTTATATGATCGTAACAATTTTTCGTCCGTCCACACGTAAACAAAAAGCCGGTGTTTTCCAAAATCTCCACTCTGGACAATATACCCTGGAGGCCGTTTTTGAAACCTGCGGCTTTTTGGTGCCTTCAAAACCCGTTTTCTTGTGGACGAAAGGCCAAAACGGAGAAACGTACGTACACTGCACATTTCAACTTGTGAGATAGGGTCAATCGGGAGCCATTGCAACATAAACTGAGTTATTCACCTTAATGATCAAGCATTTAATCCTATGAAAAGTTTTTTTCATGAGCTTTAGAAAAGTAAGAGGTGATTTGCCAATACTGGTATGAGTTTTAATTAGGTATTTCATTTCTAGGAAAGCTTCATCATGCTTAAAGAGCGAGCTATTACGCATGCGTCACACGAAACTCCAACCTAAAAATACCATGACTTGTGGTGCTTAATCTCGTACCCAGATTTCACACCTGTCTTGGCCGCGGGAGATCTGGCTACGAAATGCAGTCAGATAATGTAACTGAGGGTCATATTTGGAGGTGTGAAAGTGTGACCTAAAGTTTAGTCAGGCTAGTCCCTAGGCGTTCCCTCTTGCCCTGTAGTCGTCGCAAGATAAAGTCTAGGAAGGGTGAGCGCGTCCCTCCCCTCTCGGCTGCGTCACAACTCACGGCACATTCCAGGTTTGATTGAGCCAGGAACACCTTAAGGCTTAAAGGCTATGTTCACAATATACCGGATAGCGTTTGCGCTGGAAAGAAAACCATACCGGATAGGGCCTCTGTTCACGTTAAAAACAGTGATTTTAGGGCGATTTCTATAACGGAGCTAAGCTGCGCTTTCCCGATCTCTAAAGTGGAGAATCGCATAATGCATTTGTGTTCACAGTATACCCAGCTTTTCATATGGGCACCAAAGAAACGCTATCCGCTTTAGCGTGAAAATAGCCTATGCTAAAGTCCTGTGACACGGGCTCTAACCCTAATAATCATTAAAATCTTCAGTCGCGCAGCAGTAACTTCAGTTTTACCCATCGGGAAAAAATAAAGGAACTTACGCCTTTGCGAAATGTTCTAGTGCCAGTAATGATCAATAAACGCCTGTAACAAATTTTAGTAAGTTCGACAATGTTTTGCTAATTATTAGTCGTCGTTGTATTTAACTGAGATTTATTAACTTGTTTGTTGCATTGTAAGCTCAAGTACAAGACGTTGTTTTTATAGCAGAGAGCAACTTTTCTTAGTCCCAAAAAATATATATATGGATCACAGATCGAGTAAAGTCTTATGAGGAAATAAGTTAAGCAGGATCATCTATCCGCGAAGAAAAAGCTTAATATTGTATGTAAACAATAAAATGGAAAGTGGCTAAATGTAAAATTCAGTATACCTATCAATAACTGAGAAACTAAAATAGTAAGAGAGTGTATTCGGCATACCAATCTTATTTCAAAAGATGAAATTATCATCCGGAAAAATTTCTAAAGAGGAATCCCAGGACCAATTTTAGAGAAAAAATAACAAACAAAAAGAAAAACACAAAAACAAAGGATGGCTTTGTACGTCGACTCTTCGCAACTTATAATTTCGATGCTTTATTCGCCATAACCTTAATCCCCTTTGAATTTATACATGTGAGACTTTTTACTTTATCAAATATATACACGGGACGGATTTAATTTCAATACATGCGATTTGTGTGGCGTTTACACTCCTCAAGGTACATTTTATTACCTGACTTGGAGAGATCGATATCGGTTAAATCATGTGAAAGTTTTCACCTGTCGGGCCACGAATGTTCCTTGTATGACATAATTCATATGAAGTGATTAAAAGCTCTTAGACTCAACACTTGCACAAGATATATCGAGAAAGCCATTCTAATGCACCTCAACTTTCAGAACTGTAAAACGAGAGCAAATAAAAATCTCACGGTATTTGGCTTGTCTACTCCCTGTTTGGCGTCTACCATAACTTAAGCGTTTTTCAGGCGAGCGATGGCTAGCGCGAAGCGAGCGAGGAGCGGCAGACAACCGCGCTCGAGAGAGAAATTAACAGAAAAAAAAGTCCTCGCCTTCCCTAATCGCGCGACTGCGTGTCTAGCTCTCCAACTTCGCTTTGTGTTTCTTACTTCCAAAAAAGGCGAAAAATGACGGCCGTTCTGCAGCCTAAGTTATAACAAGCCACTAACGAATTTAAATGAGTTGTAAGATCGTTTTGCCTATTATATTATCAGTCTTCGTTCAGATCTTAGCTGAGATTTATTAACTTGTTTGTTGTAAACAAAAGTACAAGGAGCTTTAAATAGCGTGAACCTTTATAACTGTCACATTTAGTACAAAAAATGTATTACAGAGTTATCAAGTCTAATGAAAAAGTAGAGTCAATAGGATCATCGATCCATGAACAGGTGATTGTACTGTAAACTTCTCAGTAAATGCTGAGTACAAAACCAGAGAAATAAGAGAAAGAAAAACTAAATAAGACAGCAAGAGAATGTATTCGGCATTCAAACCTGAATTAAGAAGCGAGTTGCAATATACCCTGAAAATGGCCAGTGAATAGTCGTACTATTAAGGAAAGGAGCAAGACAAGAAGGGATCAATATCGGTTTGTCATCTAAAATTTAGGTAAGAATTCACTACTTGCTGGTAATGAAGTCTCATATATTCTCCATAATTATCAAAAAGGTCCGTTGCCGATTATGTTTTTAATTATCACAAAGGTCCTTTGCCGATTGTGTTCTTGTATCGGGCACGGAACTCAAGAAAGCCATTACAAAAAGGCTAGCTGTTTTCAAGGAGGAAGGAAGATCCAAGCGCCAGGAAGATCCTAAAAGGCGGATAATTTAAGTGTTGAACTAGTCATAAGCGCAAGTCGGGTCTTCCTAATGCTAGGATCTTCTTGGCTTAGAGGTAGGACGATCTTTCTACTAGGAACAAACCAGACAAATATGGTGGCGGGTCGGGCATTGGAGTAATCACTGCAATAAACATGAAAGCCGACCATTTCGTCTGTCGTTACCATGAGCTGATTAATATGACGATTCTGCTGAAAGCCGGTAGTTATGAACGCCAGTAAAAAGAGCACATGGGCCCAAACTGCACTTTTGTTTTTGTCTCTCTCAATTTTTAATTCCTTCTCTACTTGGGCACCACACGGACCGCAGTTTCTGCAAGTAAGTTACCGAACGAAAAGTTGTCCCGCCTTTTATTATCTTTCCTGGTACCAGGATCTTCCACCCTCCTAGAATAGCAGCTGTGTGATAGGAAAGCTTATAAGAGGTAACCACTCCTAAAAGGTTCTTGTACTATACATAATTTTCTTGTTCTATGTACTTTTTAAGAAACACAAGTTATAATAAATGGCACTCTTCAACACCAACATTTTTGCTTGTTGTCAGACTTGATGCCTTCAAGAAACCCCCGCAACATGCCCTTAATGCAGTGGGATCTCAGTTCAGGGGGCACCCTCGGGGCCAAGGCAAGTGTCCCTTGAACAGAGGTGTCCTCCAAATGAAGTTGGTCTGGGGTTTGTTAATGGTAAACCAGCAAAGGCAATCTACAAAGTAAGCATTAACTTATCTCTGCAACTTCATATGTTGAATTAACATGAGTGGATTACATCAACTTAAGTGAGATAGTTCAGTTTTTGAAAGCTTCCATAATTGTGATTAGTGTACTCTACAATATATCAACCCTCTTTGTGATAAGTCATGTTTTGAGTGCTTAGTGTCCCCTGAATGGGGGTCAAACCCAGGTTTTGGGACCCAGAAAATGTGTTCCTTTCCCCTGAAAAGAGGTGTCCCTTCAATAGCGGTAACACATTCAAAGATTATGTGGAAGTTTTTTTCCGGGACCAAATTTTGTGTCCCCTGAATGGAGGTGTCCCATGAATAGAGGCTTCCTAAAGGAGAAGTTCCACTACAATCATGTCCAACAATCAACAAGACACGCCTACAGACGGCAGCAGGTAGCACCTGTAGTCTCCTATGCAGCCTTCCTCTTTCTGGGTACGTTTTTGTTTTTTTGTTTTTTTTTTTTTCACAAAATTATTAGACGTAATTTTTACATGCAAAAATAAAAATAAAAACCTGCCGAAGGAATTATTGATGGGGCTATCATCCTCTAAGCCGCTATAGAAGATATTACTACGGACACCCTCCACAATAACAAGTGGAAGTTAAGCAAACACCCCTTCATATTAGCGTGCAGTCATTTACTATCACAACCATTTCCCGGCTTTTGACAATAATTACGAACGTCAAATGGGATGAAAACGAGACTTGTGCAACCCATATTCTTACCAATTTAAGTAACCCAACTCCCAATTTTATGTTTTAAAGCACTAATTTGTACTAAGGTACTGGGTCAAGGCGAGGACTTCAAGCTAACAACGGAACTGTCCGAAAAAGTGCAATATCCCCACGACCAGGCAATCAAAAACGAACTAAATGAAGCAATACTGCCTATTTAGATAAAAGAAGCTTTATGTTCAAGATAAAATTTTGTGTGTTTCAAGTAACAAAGACTCAATTCTGTAAGAAGGTGATTCGAATTTTTAACGCACAACCTGTAAAAATACCCCAGCTAAAGAGTCTGCTGACGTGTAAACAAGCACGGTGACCCCATCTTTTTATTGCATTTTTTTAATGTTCATATCATGAATATTGATTATGCCAAGTTTCAAAAAAAGTTTGATAGTAGAACAATTTCAAGGAAATTACCATAATTATTATTCTGTGTGAGTTTAAATAAAAATTGACTTGACTTGACTTGACTTGACTGACTTACAACACCTGATCCCATCCCTTCCTTTTCAAAGTGAGTGGACTGACTTGAAATTTACTTCAACCATAAGGATTGAATATACGTTAGTTTCTAATATTAAAGCAACTTTAAAAACCTGCCCTCCCCAGTTACACAATCCCTTCCTCCCATCCCTAAAGTTTTATAGGCCACCCTCCCTCCCTCCCTCAAGCCTAGTGAAGTTTTGTGATACACGTAAACTATTTTTAGTTTCAAAATTCTACTGGTTGCTTTACTTTGTGGAGCCTGAATAGTTTGATTTGTCGACTGAAGGATGTTTCTGTGAGGTGAGCTTAAACGTACACTCGGGGAATACTGTTGCTTCCTTGTTTCTTTTGTTTTGGTAGTGTGAGGGGCAACAAGTCGACCTCTTCTACTGTAATTCAAAGTAGACAGACTGCAAATTATAAAGTTGCTAAAAAATATATCTACGTTTCCCAACTGTTCATCAGTAGGATGCCTAAAATGCGTGCAATTCCACAATTGGTTTCGGCGCCATTAAATCGTATACCAATTTGCAGAACATTTTAGGACTAGCCACCCACCGTGTGAGCACAGTCGCGGACAACACATATAAGTTAGGAAAATAACGCAAAGCAAAACTAAGACGTCATTAAACTAACTAAATGTACACGCAACTTAAATAAATAAATAATGCACGCGCCCAAAATTAAATTGCGCGCGCACAAGTACCAAGATACAACTGAAATAAAAATCCAAGTAATAAATAAGCAATGTAAGGATACAATGGTGCAATTTAAGTCTGGATTGCAATCTCACCTTCCGCAGGGCTGTACCACACTTCTCGACGATAAGACCTTGGCGATTGACGAATTTATTAAATGAGTTCTGAAGTCGATTGGTTTCAAAGCCTTGTTGTCTGAGACGTAATGAAAGTCCGAAAGTCTATCTATGAAGTCAACTTTGGAGGTGCAAATTCTAGCTTATCCCACCAGTTGAGAAAGCTGGATTGCCGGGAATGTTGCTGTCCATATAAGGAAAGTTGACAATCCGAAATGCAAAGTCCTCTCTCTTAGATGCTGATACAATTAAAATGTACAATGTATTCTAATTTATATCCGTCCTGGGAATAAACGAAAAAATTAGAACGAGCGAAGCGAGATCGGAATAACTGATATAAACTAACAATTATTATGCCATGCCTGGTCGTCAATATCCAAAAACTCATGAAATCCATATAAAACTAACAAACTAAAATGATTGACAATATTATAATATCGATCATAAACTTACTTCTATGGCGAGTTTCTTAACTTTCCTTGATCGGGATAACCATGAAACAGTGTAACAGGCAAGCAGTAAATCAAAGGAAACATGTCCAAATCAGATCTCGGGTAAAACTAAACTGCTTAATTAAAATTGAGGTTTATCTACTGTTTGAGTTTCCTGTTAAGCGTTAACGAGGCTACCGCAAATTCCTTAACTATGAATTCCTTGCATAGTCCAAAAAACTACGTTTTTACTTAACACTTTCTACTTCTGCAACAAGAAAAAGAAAAAAAAGAGACAAAAGAAAAGACTCAACCTGCAACAACCTGATTTGTTGCAGGGATCGGACAAGCTTGATTAATGTGGGTGATAAAACGCGCAACGTCGCTATTCAACTCGTTTAGCAGTTGCTTTTTTTGCCCGGTTTACCATGCCTTTTTACGTTTGAATTACAAGTAAATTACCGTTTGGATTGGGATATGTCATTCGAATTACTGTTATATTTGCCGGAACTATAAGAATGAAAAACAACAACACAAATACATATAATATGAATTAAGGTTTTTAAATTTTCCTCTAAAAAAATTATTGCCGCACCTTCAGAGACAAGCTGTTCTACAACACTCTTCCATTATAAGAGAGGCTTCTTTTTTAAAATTCAGTGCGGGGTTGTGGAACAGCGAGCTCGTTTGTATTCATGCATTTTCTCTGTTAGGTTATAAGCGATTAAATCGCATGCAACGACGAACAAAACGCGAAATTGTCAGATATTCTAGAACCGTGTTACTTACAGTGCTGTGCATTATTATTGCTTAACTAACTAACTACGCGCTGATGGAGATAAGTTTCGGCCGCTTTAAATTTTGAAACAATTCACTGGTACTGTATAGTCATAATTGGAGCGGAAAGTTAGCACGCGAGCAGGGCGATTCTGCTGTAGTTTCTGCAATGTAGAAGATTACGGCAATGAGGCTACCAAGCTCCGTTCCGGAAATCACAACTACATGTAGTATGAAATGTATTCTGCGTGCAGACGTCTCCTTTTTCAGGTTAGGTTAAATAAACCGTATCAACGGTTTGTTTGACAAAACTCCCGCGAGACAGTTTTTTGGTGATTTTATTAATTTTTCCGATCCATTTTTTTTTTTTCATCTCTACTTTCGCGGCTTTTGCGATACAAAATAAATTCATTTTTAGTTGTGATGGCATTACACTGCTTAATCGTGACGGCTTTAGAAGAAACTGAATATATTGCGCTTCGCGATTTCGCAAAATTGCTGCGGGAATTAAAAAAGTATTTTCTTCCAAAAAAGCGTTTTCACGCTTCTTTTTCTAGTCAATTATCTCGTTTATCTCGTTTTCTAAAGGTCCTTGAGAACTGAATAAGACAATAGTTTATTACCTACAACCCAAAAACCTGATTTATTTTGACCAGATCGAAACAAAACTGACCTCTGAAATGGAAGAAGAAAACCCTTTTATTTTTGCTGGCTTCGGCCTGCCAACGCGTTAGTGTCTGGTTTGCTTTCATATGATGACATTTTCCTGAAAGAAAGGTGTCGGGAAAAACACTTCGCTCTGATCATACGTGGCAAAATCCGCCGCGCCTAAGCTAATGAAGCAAAGTCTCCTGGAAGGCTCCATACAATTCCTTATGACAAAATTATAAGGAATTGTATGGAGCTCTCCGGGATACTTACAGTGCAAGATTGATTCCCCATACCTTGTTATAATGTCATGAATAACAATACCCAGGGATGAATATTATACTACCAATGCAATGAAAAGATCGTATTTCAGTCTGTTTTGACAGCAAGGAAGCAACAAACAAACGCATTTAGATCTGGACAACTGAAGCTTTCTGCAAACGAAGGCAAACCTTTGAAGAAGGCCAATCGTGGCACTGCGCTGCGGCTAACCCTTACTCTAAGAAACATGGAAGGCGATCAAGTACTTCTTAGATACTATGTCTTCGTGATAGGGATCTTTACTACACTTCCAAGTATTTCTAGAGGTAACACTCTAACCTGTGTTCAAGGAGTCTATATTTTTAGTAGTCTGGCCCCTTTGGAAAAATTTTTTTTTTCGGTACATTCCTAAAGCTACCATTTTTTCCTTTTGTCTTTTGAACAGCTTTCAGCCAAGGTTCCATTAACAACTTTGTCTATGTCAACTTCATGATTAGTGAATTTTCCTACCTCAATATCACAAGTATTGGACGGAATCTCATTGAAGAAGAAAACGATTGTGGCTACACCTGTTTAGAAGATTCCTCATGTTTTTCCTACAACGTGGCTGCCTTCCCTGATGTCAACGGCAAACTTCTGTGTGAACTCCTCCCATCGGACAAATATAACAACTCGGATAAGTTCAACGCCAGCGAAGAGTTTCATCATTTTTATATTCCGGTGAGTCAAACTACTTATTTATCACAACTTTTTCATTTGGAGGATAATAAATGACCCTCTCATTTGTCTCCCTAGTTATGAAGTTTCGGAAGTTAGCATTTGTAAATAAGACACGTATCTCTTTGCTTGGAGAATCAGTCTCCAACTGATGCACTGATCGACCTGTGCTTCAAATGGAAAAGAAAACAGGTTTGCTAGGGAATTCGCCTTTAAGCCATGAAAAAAGGGGGGGGGGATGGAAAAAAAAAAGAAAACAAACGCCAAGAGCGTTTTCCAGTGGTAATACGCCTGCCTACTTCTAATGAAACAAACGCTGACATACTTCATGAAATTAAAATTGCTATTACCTTCGAATGTCAGGCAGGTTCAAATAATCTTCCAAACAAAATATTTGCCTTGAGAACTACTCAAAGTTCAATTATACATCTTATTGTTTTAGCCTTCGGCGCCATTAACTTGCATTGATACACCTGTCTTATCGCAATCTGACCGATATACTATCCCTTATTTCTCTCACAAAAATTGTCCAAATTATTTTCTATTGTGGAACAAAATTGTCATCAGCACAAGGTCTTGAAATTCGGTGGTATGGCCACAAATTTAGGTCATAAAACAGAATTCAGGTCTGAGCCCTGTCTGAATTCACGTCTGAGCCCTGTTTAAATAAGCTGTGGTAAAATATATTGTACGCCGCTGTCGGTTCTTAATAATTAATAAATTGACATCACTGAATATAGGAAACAAAATAAAAGGAGAAGAAGAAACTAATTAAGATTCAAGCGAACTTGTATTTCATAACTTAATAGATTTACAATAGGATGAAGGGTCAGTTGTTAACCTCTTCTAATGACTACAAGAAAACTGCTCTTGTTTTCTTTACTTAAAGTGAACTAAGACCAGGTTAATTTAATTCCATTATGATAAAATCACAGTGTGTCTCTTGTCCCGCTTATAGTTGATATTACTGTTGTAGTTAATTTTTTATTTCAGTTAATTTTTATTTTTCCATTGTTTTGGGGTATGGTAATGTATGCTAATGAATTTAAAACAAAGGAAAAACAAAAATTAACTGAAATTAAAAATTAACTGCAACATTACCATTATAGCAACACAAATAAGCTACTCGAATACACACTTAATACAGCAAATTCGTATTTCTGGCGGCTTGTTGAAAAATAAAATAACCTGTGAGACCAAAGGGGCTTATTCGCTGTATAGTGTTTGTCTTTCCTGTTTGATATTGCTATTTATAAAATAACTGAGATAGTACGCGTGATCTGATTGGTCAAAAACCTATGGTTTATTATACTGGTAAACCCATAGAGAGCATAGAAAAAGGCATCTGGGCCACGAGCCATAAACAAAACCGGCTATTGATCTGCAAACAATGAATTTAGAAATGTTAAAAAACAGAACAAGTTACTTACCCAGCACCTCTTAGTATCAAAAGCATTGGTTTCCACATTTTATTACTGCCATAGCTTTAGAAGTAATAAAGCACAAAGCTGGAAAGCAGTATATATTTCACGACGATGCCAAATCGCAGAGAAAGACAACAACTGTGTGAATTTCTGGTGTAGAACGTCGGGGGCACCCAACGTCAATTTTCGGAAAATATCTGTTCGGAAGACGATTTGACATCTAGAATTTTCGGAACATTTGTTCTAAAATTTCTTGCTTTCCTGCCTCTCCTAAGATTTTCGAACATCTAAAAAATGGTATAATTTCCCATTTTTAACGGATTTTTACCCTAAAAAGGTCACCTAGAATTTTCGGGAACCTTTTTTTTTGGCTGAAATTTTCGAAAAGGTAAGTTTTAATCCCTATAATTTTCGGATCACTAGACTTTCAGCTAGGAAATCCGAACAGATGAGAAATTTTTAGGGGATAAAAATATGCCTATATCTACCGTTTAAATACTAAAATACGTTTAACAATGCTATGTTTAAGTGGTTTTGAACTATATTCTCGTTGGGTGCCCCCGGAACGTCTCCAGGAAAACTTAACCATGCGCCAACCAGCAACAAAACGGATAGTTTTAGCATTCCTGATTTATTTTATGTCAAAATTAATTTCCGGAATGAAAGAAATTGTTCCAAAAAGAGATCTCTGATCAAGATATGGTACAAAATCGGCCGCTGTAGGTTGTAAACAAAACTGCCAACGATGATGAAAGATGTCAGAGTTTTGGGCTGGTTTTTTCCAACATTTGCACAAATTATTCGGGGATATCGATGCCATAACCTACCTCAAACCACCTGACTTTACAAATCGACAAATATTAACGCCAATATGTGGCTACGGCAAACAAACCTTTGTCCCCGCTCTGTATGTTGTTGGTCAATAGCTTTCTTGCTAATTGTGTAGCTCTTTGAAATATACCGACCCTTAATGAAGATTCTCACACATATTCCATATGATAGGCGAGATAAAAACAGGAAACGCAAGGTTCCATGCTCTGATTCAGTTCGATTCAAACAGCTTTGATCAAAACATTCTCAGTTTTGAGAATATTTTATGTTAAACCACAAAAAAGAAAAAAGAAAAGTTGGAATTTTTCGCTTTTTCTCTTTCACCTCCCGCGTTCTAGCCTCCCACGCAGACGTTCTTAGGGGTTCGTCACACGTTCCTGACCCGCGTTCTCGTCTTTTTGTTGTTGTTGTTGTTAAGTATCAAAACAACAACAAAAAAAGTCTCGTTAGTTAGAATAAGCCTCGCCCTAATTTTGTCTATTCAATCCTTATTATTGATTAGTCAGTTGCTCTGTAAGTATCTGCGCATTAAAGGATATTAAGTGTAATTATGACATTCAGTATAAAATATAATTACACGAGCTTATTACATGCTAACCGAAGATAATTTTAGCTTCTAACTGCGCTGAATATGAAATTCAAATTTCAGATCATCAGCGATCATTTTAGCTGTCGAGCAAAGTAGAATCCTGATGAATTTTTGCAAGTGTTCACCGCTCAGTTCGTTCGCTTAGACACAGATATCACTAAAAACATTTTTGCTAGCTGAAAAGTAAATAAAGTCCGGAAGATTCATCGATACTTTGTTAGCGTTTTGAGTAAATAAAACAATTATTCCACTCGCACTTGCTCCGTCTGAGATGATTATAGCCAACCCATATCCAACAACCGGCAGGTGGAATAATTGTGTTAAGAAGGAATCCATCAGGAAATTGAGTAATTTTTATTTTCAGTGGACAAAAGCCTTGAACCAGAATAATTTAAACAATATCGCATTCTGCTTTTACCTTTTAAAAAGGGCTAAAGATGAAATTAGTTAGACGTGTAATAACACCAAAGAAAATTTCTTATGATAGCACGAGAAAATAAATGTCAAATTTCACAAAATGGCATCTTACACATGACATTTTCAGAGTTTTACCTTTGTTTTCACATTTTTTTTTTTTGTAAATTTGACATTTATTTATCGGGCTCCCATGAAAAATAGTATTTGTTGTTATTACAGCTAACTAACTTGCATATAAATAACCCGTGAAAAATGTAAAAAAGAAAGCGATTTTGTTTAAATTATTCTGGTACCAGGTTTTTTTGTCCACTAAAAATTGAAATTATTCTATTTCCTGATGGATTCCTTCTTAATGCTACATGTAACTAAAAGTTGGGGCTCAACTTGGCCGACGAAAGTCAATAACTGAATTTGCCGTAAATTCAGCATCTAGTCTAATTTGGATAAATGTTATGCGTCACGTTACTGGATTTTTTTACTTTGACATAAAATCATGGTCTTTACTTACAGCGGTATCCTTTCCTTTGTGTAGTCTCCTTGTGACAGTTCGCCCTGTAAGAACACAGGAAAATGTATTTCGTTGTGCCAGGAAAATGGATATAAGTGTATCTGCGTGGAAGGATTCACCGGAAAAGACTGCGAAACGAGTAAGAAATATAACTGAGTTGAAGCAAGGTTGCCGCTAATAACACAATCACAGGTGACACACTATTAACGCACTTTGCAAGTGGGAACGGTTATCAGCATAAAGCTTTTGTACTGATTTTAGGTATTATATTATTGACCTTTACTTCTTTGAGCTCACTCATCCGACAAAGTTAATGTCATATTATGTTATACCAACAGAAGTTTTTATCCGGAAGCTCTAGGGTCCGCTGGATAATTATATGTTTTGCAATTTTATTGACCTCAAATTCCTCTTGGTCCATGAAAATGCCGAAAAAAAAAGACTTGGCCAATAATAACGCATTTATCTTGGCCGAGCAAGTTTGGTGATTAACGCATACATATTTATTTGTCGTTATTTTTTTGTTATACCGTAAAATTCCGAAAATAAGCCCCGGGGCTTATATATTTCAAAGGGCCTTTTTGAGGGGCTTATTTTTGGAGGGGCTTATCTACGGAGGGAAATTTGCGTTTCAAAATCAATTAGGCTTACCTTATAGTTAGAAGTAAATTTACCATTTTTGCTTTGTTTTACTTTGTATTTAAGACCTCGTGAAGATAAGACGTGCTGAAATGTCAACGCCTATCGATCACTTCAAAAACTTCAAAGGAATTGGGTACAACCTTTGGGATCAGTGATTTCTGGGATCGTTTGGGTGAGCAAGAGTTAATTATGATTGGTCGATGGTATTCAGGTCAACCATTCACCAATCATAAGAAACGCTTGTTTACCTAAAGATCTAGAAATCGTTGCGCTGAGCTGGTACCCTTTGCCACTATAGTTCCTTTTATAGGGAATTAGATAAGTGCCAAAAGCAGCCCAAAATTGTTTTACGCAAGTTGTAATTTACGGTTGAAATCCCCGTGCAAGTGGACGCAACATTGTTGGATGTTAAGTGCTAAAATAGCGTCCGTTTGCACATTCTGTTGTATGTCGTTGGTCGTTGCCTGTTATTGGAGATCATTGCGCAAAGTTTAAAACTGATCAATCCAGCTGTCAAGCTTTAAGCCCCGTGCAAACAAACTCAATATTGTCGGCCAGCAGCTCCTAACATTGTTGGGAGTTTTTGCGTCTGTTTGCGCGTGGTTTAAATATTGCAATTTTTGGTCTCTGTATTGCACTTTTGCATTTCTTAACTTTTATTATTAGCGTGCTTCCTAATTTTGATGTGTGTTTTGATATCATTCTGTTACAGACATTAACGAGTGTAAAAGCAACCCTTGTCTCAACGACGGAACTTGCACTGACTTAGTCAACAGATTCAAATGCAGTTGTCCGCTTGAATTTTTTGGGAAACGATGTGAAACAAAATCGAAAAATGGAGGTGAGAATCATAATTATGGATCATGTATGATGTGTACCACAAACGAATCAGCAAGTTGTACTTTGACAGGTTGCCATCTATAAATTCAAGTAGTCCTTTTTTTTTTTAAAGGTGTTTCGATGCAGTTTTTCAGAGGCCAGGAAACTGATATTATTTTTTCCATAGCTTTAAAAGTGATTTTATCGGTATATGATCGCTATAAAATTTTCGCCAGCGATTGACTATAGATTGAAATTTGTCAAAATGTAGGTTTTAGTAAAATCGATATTACTATGACAACAATAAACAAAAACTTTGAAATAAATGAAAGCTGAATTTTGCGCGATCTAAACTGGCTACTGAAAATCCAACACTAGGAACTTAAAGTTTGGTGTTTAGCAAATAAACTCCGTTAGAAATAAAATGTGATTTTCAATAGCCGTCATAGATTATTTAATAAAAATGTTACAAATGACTCAAATTATTCTTAAGTATCATCAGAATGCTGCTTAATATCAAATTTCGTTGCTAGGAAATTTGGGTGTATTTTCTTTCTTGCGATCTTGGAAACTAGCCCGTTTTTTCACCACCTGTCTAAGTGCAACTTCGTTCAAAATCTGGACTTTTAGCAGAGTTTTGTGTATCTCTGAAACGGCTCAAACGAATTTTGTTTTTTAAATCTCTTCAAATAATCTTCATAATGTATATAATGTATATACCTTCAACCAATTTTCAAAAAAAAGAAAAAAAACTGGTGTTCTTATTGTTTTGTGTCCAAACCTTGTTTTCGCGATTTTCAGTTCGCACCCTGATTGGCCGGTTACCCTTCTGTCAAACTTCTCCAATGTTATATTCAAGTATATCTTCCTAAAATTAAATCTCTTTCCTTACAGAGGGTCTAGTTTGATTTCATTTGTATTTCCAATGATTTCCAGAGTGAGTCAGAATTTCAAACTGTTTTCTTGTTTGACTAAATGTCCACCTGAGAGTGTCTGCCGTCAGTTTTGCAATATGTCCATGCACTTGCAACGTCAATTGCATTCATTTTTCTGGGTTGTAGATTCTTCTGCAGGCTAGTGCTTATCTAAAAAGGGTTTACTACAAAATCATGTACCTCTCGTCCTCCTTTTGAGTTGGCTTGATGGACGTTCCTTTGTCGCCTGCACATACTTTCGAGGAAAGTTATCCCTAAAAAAATTGCGACACGTCTTCCCGCAAGTTTCGTGCACGGGGATAGCTGGATATAAAATGTCCCCAGCAAATTTACACGACTGTGAAAAAAATTAGTTGCATTATTATATGGCTGAGTCTGTTTTCGCCATGCGATTGGTCAATTTGCGGTACGTAACTTGCTATACGGACCAAAATTTTTAAAGAAAATGCTCATTTCGGAGGTCTAAATCTCTTTACCTGGGAAAAAATGTTTAAATAAAGTTATAAAACGCCTGTCAACCTTGAGGACTTGGATGTTGACTTTGGCCTTCAACATTTTAACTGTGTTTATTTGTGAACGAAGGCGATGAAGAAACTAACTCGTAATCTTATCGAACAGGATTCTAGTCAGTGTTTGAAAATTTTATCGTAGTACACAGTTAAGAAGACGACAATCGACAGGCAGAGATTCGAGATGTTTTGCCTAAGAGAAAATGAGTAATTCCTTCAACAAATATGATAACAAACATACCTCCACCCGATCATCTTGACAAGCATCTTTGCCATTTGCAGTGTTTTTTCAAAGACCAACGAAAGAAAGATAGAAGCGAGTTCGAGCCAGACACAATTATGTCCAGTTTTCAAAAGACTCCAGCGCCACATTAACGAGTGAATACTTACAGTGCTCTGAGTTTCCACCGAATAAACTTTGATATAAGTATGTGAACTCTGAGGACTGGGATGTTGACTTTGCCTTCCCAAATTTTAACCTGGCTCTGTTTTTATGAGAACGAAGCTGGTGTAGAAACTGATTCGTAACCTTACCGAGGAAGAGAATTCTCGTTGGTGTTTAAAAATTTTAACGCAGATCACACTTGAAGACGAGAATGAACTGGCAGAAAGAGAGGTTTTCCCAAAAACAATTAACGAGCGAATCCTTCGACAATGACAACAAACTTACCTTGAAAAGTTTCTTTGCCTTTTGCAGTGTTTTTTTCAAAAGGACAAACGGAGGAAAGATGGAAACGACTTCTAGACAGACACAACGTCCGTTCGGTTTCCAAAATACTCCAGCGTTACATTAAAGAGCTAAAACTTACAGTGCTCTTAGTTTTGACCGAATAAACTTTTTTAACATGGCAAATTCGTTTTTACTTTCTCGGAAAGCCTTTGTTATGTGCTATTGTTTTCGTGCGCCAATAAAAACTTTCTTTTTTGACGCCTGTCAAATGACTTCCAAATCGTGCGTCCTGCACTTGTTTCCGGTCCCCCAAACAGGAAGAAGCCATATAATAAACATCTTATTAGCCTCGTTTTTTCGGTCCGTACTGTAAATTACGGATCCTCGTTTTTTTCCATCGATTTATGCATGGCCCCAAGCGCGAATAAATCGATTGGAAAAAAACTCGGTCCGTAATTTACCGTACGGACCGAAAACTCGGCTAATAAGAGGTATTTTTTCTCTTTCACCATTAGATGTTATCTCAACTGTGGTAACACAGTTTCTTTCGCCTGCGATTGGGAATGACAGCAACTGGGCCCTGTGTTGGCAGACCTCCACTCATGGCTGGGCTGTCAGTACCTTCCACAGCAGATGTGATGGGAAAAACCATACGATTACGATCATCAGAAAAGACCAGTACGTGTTCGGAGGATACACTGATATTCCTTGGTGTAAGTGACTTTTTCGCCGGGGGCGGGGCAATAAAAGGGACGGAGTCCGCAAAATTAATATTAAACCCCTAAAGAAACCAATCTGGAGTGGCTTAGGCTATATTTGACAAATAATAAAACAAGTAACCAATTCCAGAACCAATCAAGAGCTTTAATGATCATGAAATTGCCTTGTGCGAAATATATCAAAATTGAATGCAGTATTCGACACAAAAAGGCGGCCAGTAAGCTGCAACAACAACAACAAAAAAACACTGACTAGGACCGTACAGTACGTACGTGAATACAGTCACTTTAGCTACGATCACTTTAAGACCCTTCTAAAAACAGTTAAATATAGTTTAATGTCCAAGTCACGACATTTGAGATAAATATGAACTTCGTTGACTTGTGTATTGACATGGTTTTGTCAGTAGACATCTGGAGCTTGTATGTTTTGGTTTGTTGAATTAAAGTTAAATTCAATTGGGACCTTCACTGGGAAAAACATAGCCTCCCACGCAGACGTTCTTAGGGGTTCGCCACGCGTTCCTGCCCCACACGAACCTCTAAGAACGTCTGCGTGGGAGGCTAGGAAAAACATAAAACTTAAAGTGGTCTTTTAAGTGTCATTTACGTACCAGTAATACCTACAGGGGTTGCTGTTGCAATAACCTTTTCTTTTAAGTATTCTGTTTAACCATTATATAGCGGATGAAAGACTGGTAAGCCCATAGCTATATCAAGTGAGTGAGTTGTTTGGCACAGTTAAGAAGCTCCTGCAGTAAAGGAATTCCATCTTTGTGGATCTTGAACAGCCCTAAAATTTGTGGGGGTGGGGAGAGAAGAGCCTGCTGTGTTAAGGATATCAAGGGGACCCATCCACCCGCCCACTTTTAGGCGTGGTTCTCGGACGTTAGTAAAGATTTTAACGTTTATTCCACTCTTTGCATTTTTCTTTATGAAGTTTTAATGAGTTATCGGTTAATAGTTAACAACGGGGCTTTAGAAAAAAGAAGGAATCTTCTGGTACTGTTACTAGGTGCAGTAACGATACCAGAAACAATTACGGGACGCATTGCGGCTCCAGTTCCCTTCTCGTTTCTAAAGTGGCGAATTTAAGTTTGCTAAGAAAATCCTTTCACGGCGGGTTTACATCGTCTACGTATAACTGCTCCATTTCCGTGGCTCATAATATCCAGAGGAGATAGTCGGTGGTAATTAACAAGCTTTCGGACCATGTTTACCTGCACAGTCAACAAACAATACGTACAGCTAAACCGCACATAAAACGATATAGGAGGTGGTTCAAGGGGCAGTTCCGGGAAGGGGATAATATCTTATATGACCTGTACGGGGATGTGCCGCTGGACAGGGTATGATTTTCATCGTCTCTGTCCTAAACAGGGCAAACAATTTCTGGAATGCTGGGAACGGTCGAGGTGTAAGGACGTGTACTTCGGTGCTCCGCCTTTTGGGGTGTTATTCTTTGCAATTCGATGCCTCCAAAAAGGAAAGATCGACCCAAATCTTCTTCCTCGGACGCCTTTTCGCCCGAGTAAAAAAAAAAGAAGTTTTATGATTTAAAGCTCAAGGGTAATGGTGGTTACTAAGGGAACTAGAAAGTAGGAGCAATCGCTTTGCATCTTCAAAAATGTGTTTATGGCGGAGCTCCGACCAAATAGTCGTCCGGATCGTACAAACAATTAGACGCACTACCTAAAGGTCTTAGTTCGCACCAGCTTATAACTTTCCATTCCTAGTGAAAGAGCCCGTGTATGCTAGTAGTGTATTGTTTATGCTCTCTCTGTAGTAGTATAATGTCCGTTTGTAGAATCGAAGTCGCAGCAATAGGTTTTTTTCTTTTTTTTTTTTCTTTTATCGTGTGTGCCGTCTGTATAGTTTTCGTTAGTTACATCCTTGCTTGGCTTTATAGATATTCGTTACGGTGGATGGTTTTTCAATGCAGAATAATAATAATTGGTTTTCACCATTATAATTCTTAAATGTATGTTCATTGAATGTTAGAGGCTTATCATGGCAAGCTAAACGAAGAGAAATGTTTAATTGGCTCAGGGAGAAAAATTTCCATGTTTTTTTTTTTATTTTTACAAGAGGTGCACTGTACGAAGGAAACCTGTGATTTATGGCAAAATGAATTGGGTTATAAAGCTTTATTTAGCTGTGAAAATAGTCGAAGGGCGGGTGTGGCCATTCTGTTTAAAAATAATTTCGATTTCGTTTTAAACAAGGATTACGCAGACCCAGGTGGTCGTTTTATCATTCTAGACATTAAGACCACAGACTTATGTTTTACGCTTGTTAATCTTTACGCTCCAAATAAGGATGACCCCCTTTTCTTCCAAAATGTTAAAAACCGAATACTCGAATTTGATTGCGATAACATCATCTTTGGTGGACATTTTAACTTGATTAAAAATGCTAAATTGGACAAGGAAGGTGGCATTCTCGGCACCTCGCAAACGAAAGCGCTCACCGAAGTAGAAAAAATTCAAATTAACCTTGACCTAAGCGATATCTGGCGTGACCAAATCCCCTTGACAAGAGATTTACATGGAGAAGGCGTAATCCATCTATATCCTGCCGACTTGACTTTTTTCTTTTAAGTCGTCATCTCCATGGTAAAGTGGCTAAGTCTGATATCGTAGCTGGTTACAAAACCGACCACTCTATGATAAGCCTCAGCTTGGGTCTTACCGAAAACATCAGAGGCCATGGGCTATGGAAACTTAACTCCTCTTTCCTGATAGACGAAGAATATTTAAAATGCATCAAGAAGGTCATCCTTAAAACATGTGACGACTACAAAGACGACAAGGATGTGGATGATGCCTTGTTGTGGGAGATGATTAAACTTAAGGTTAGAGAGTTCACCAATTTTTCACGGAAAAGAAAAAGCTAAGTCCAAGCGAACGGACGAAACCAAACAATACTATACGATCACCTAGCTAGAGAAAAAAAATTGATGGCACTATGTCCCCCATTTTAAAAGGGGAATTGGAGCAAAAACTGATTGAGGCAAAATAGACCTTGGAAAAAATGTACGAATATAAAACCCAGGGAACTATCTTACGGTCCAAAACCCGCTGGTATAATGAAGGTGAAAAAAATTCAAAATACTTTTTCAACTTAGAAAAACGTCACTTCAAGTGCAAAGTTATAACTCATCTTTGTCGAGCTGACAACACAACTTTAACATCCGATAATGATATTCTCCAAGAATGTGTTGACTTTTATAGTAAACTATACAGCAGCAGATCAATACACAATGAAAGCGATAATCTCCGGTTTTTCACCGCAGATGACAATTTTGTGCGGCTCGACGAGGATTCCAAAGCATCCTGTGAAGGTCTTTTAAATGTGAATGAATGTCTAAATGCTCTCAAGACGATGGAAGCAAACAAGTCGCCAGGCTCAGATGGGTTTCCAGCAGAATTTTATAAGGTTTTATGGAGTGACATTGCCCCCTTTTTAGTGAATGCTATTAACTGCTCTTTTCAAAAAGGGCTACTATCGGTGATGCAGCGACAAGGTATTATTTCTCTTTTACCAAAGAAGGACAAAAAACCCTCTTTTTCTAAAAAATTGGAGGCCAATTTCTCTTCTAAACTGCGATTATAAAAGCGATAGGTAATCGAATAAAGCGGGTTCTTCCTAAAATTATCAATGGTGATCAAAGTGGCTTCTTGAAGGGACGCTCTATTGCAGAAAATATTTTTCTAATTGACAGTATTATAAATTACGCAGGTAATATGAATAAACCTGGTTTATTGATGTTCATTGACTTTGAGAAGGCATTTGACTCGATAGAGTGAGCTTTTATAGAAAGAGCCCTTAACTATTTCAATTTTGGGCCCTCTCTAGTAAACTGGTTCGGATTATTTTATAATCAGGTCTCCATTGCTATCCAGAACAATGGATGGGTTTCGTAGAGCTTTTCTTTAGGTAGAGGGTTCAGGCAAGGTTGCCCGATGTCGCCATATCTATTTATAATATCGGCCGAGATATTAGCCAACTTCATTAGGAGAGATAAAGACGTAAAAGGTTTTATGACGGGTGAAGTCGAACACAAGCTAAGCCAATTTGCTGATGACACGACGTTGATACTCGATGGCTCAGAGGGCTCCTTTCGTAGAGCAATCGAGGTTCTAGATGGGTTTCAAGTGACTTCTGGCCTTAAGGTAAATTCTGAGAAAACCAAAAGTGCTCTGGGTGGGTTCGGCAAAAAACAGAGGCCCTATAGAGTGCTACAAGCCTGATATCTCCTGGGTGGAGCGGAAAGTCTTTGCATTAGGTGTACGTGTGGTTCGCAACGGACAGAAACGTAATGCTCCGCTCTAACTACGATGAGAGGATTGGGAAAATAAAAAACGTTATTGAAACATGGCAATTTAGGAGACTCACCTTATTGGGAAAAATCACTCTTATCAAAACAGGGGCACCCAACGTCAATTTTCGGAAAATATCTGTTCGGAAGATGATTTGAGATCTAGAGTTTTCGGAACATTTTTTGTCAAATTTCTTGCTTTTGCCTGCCTCTCCTAGGATTTTGAAACATCTAAAACATGGTATAATTGTCCATTTTTTAACGGATTTTTACCCTAAAAAGGTCACCTAGAATTTTCGGGAAACTTTTTTCTAGCTGAAATTTTCGAAAAGGTATGTTTCGATCCCCATAATTTTCGAATCACTAGACTTTCAGCTAGGAAATCCGAACAGATAAAAAATTTTTAGGGGGATAAAAATATCCCTATATCTATCGTTTAAATACTAAAATACGTTTAACAATGCTATGTTTAAGTGGTTTTGAACTATATTCTCGCTGGGTGCCCCTGTCAAAAGTCGTCTGGTCTCCCTACTCATTTATATTGACTCCGCTCCCTACTTATGCAAACGCACTGCAAACGGTCAACAAACTTCTTTTTGAGTTCCTTTGGGACGGTAAAGGCGACAAGATTAAAAGAGAGCATATTATAAGGGATTATGAGCAGGGTGGTTTGAGGATGATTGATATACATACGTTCAATAAGTCTCTCAAAGCATCCTGGATCAAGAAGTACTGCACTAACCGATTTGCATCTGACGGGAAGTCCTCTCTAAATTTGCACCCTCTACCGCCATTGATCTCGTTCTTCTTATTGGGAGTTATCTTATATACTCGAGCAAACTTGCAGGTACGTCTCCCTCCATGACTCTTTTTAACAGCAAACTAAATTCCGTCATTGAGATAGAAAAACAAGAAGCACTCCGCTGTAATTCTTTCACCGTCTTTTCGAACAAATGGAAATTTTTTCTTATTTAAATTTGTTGCTTGCACTTGTTACCCTCTAGCTAATCGCTTTGACTTAGACATGTGTCCTGCAAAGCTGAGCCATCCACCGTCCACCGTTCACCGTCCTTTCCTTTTATTGTAAGTAACTAAGCGAATTCAAGCATAAATGTAACCTCAGCTATTTTTATGTTTGTTTCGTCAAGTTGTAATATGTATACGTTTTGTGTGATGTAAATTTAGCTTAAATAATAAATTAAATAAAAAACTGGAAAAAAAAAAACAATTTCGCCAAGTCTTTCCTAAACACTTTACATGTCAAATTTCAAAATTAAAACAGTAACCTGATTCTTACGGCAGGAAGAGTGATAGAAAAAATAAAGAAAGAAAGCAAAAATAAAGTGGTGAATTATATTTGTACATGCAGTTTGTCCTAAACAGGGTATGTATTTTAAGTTGTTGTTGTTGTTGTTGTTGTCCCATAAACAGGGTCAGGGCCTCAAACCCTCAGCGGCTCACCTCTACCCAGATATTGGACGAGTAACCCCCCCCCTTCCCCCCCCCCAAAGGGGGGAATGTTAAGTGTCAGGTAGTTGAAAGCCGAAATTATAATTCAGGTTTTTCTGTCTTGTTTTTCAGCGTCTATGAATAATTTTGCTGCTACTTCCAAGTCGTTTATTTTCTCCCTGGTGGACAAGGAAGGACTTGCACCATTCAAGAGCATGGTAAAACATGCCAGGTCATCAAATGCTATTTACTGTGGGCCAAGTTACGGTCCAACATTTGGTTTGGTCGACATACGCATTGCTGATAATGCCAGTCAGAATACTCATTCCTACACTTATTTTGGCCTCTATTACTCTCTCCCGAATGGAGTTTCTGACCGTCGTACAATCCTGGCTGGAACCGATAACTTTTCACCTGACGAGGTTGAGGTATTTTATCTCGCTTGAGTTCCGTTGTCTTTTTATCCCCAGGCACGCAGAAACCATCAGAACTCAAAGAAAAACTACACCCCCAAAAAATCACTTTAAAACGTATTGCAGAGCAGGGAGCATCGGAATGACTCAACATTTTGATTACTCTATGTTTGATTCATGGCCTTAGTTCATTATTTAAATTGAACGTCACGCACGTACGAGTTCGGCGGTCTGTGACACGATCGGAAGCTGTCTGCGAGTATCGTAGTTTTTAGTCGCAGTATCCTGGACATCAAAAGCAGATGCATTTTAATTTAGCGATTACAGACTTTCCAGGTTTTTTCAGTCGTTTTGGTGCAAAAATGGTGCCAAACATAGGTCTACGACGCGACGCAGACCGGTCTCCGATCTGTGTTTACATTTGTTTTTCATTTACGCGTCCACACGTGGCGTACTTGAATCGTGTCTGCCCGTCCACACTTGAAAACGCTTAAACGATAAAAAAGCCTGCATAACAGGCGCTTTATAAGACAAGCGAGGCGAATGCGGCATTTTGCACGAAGCGCGTGACGAGGCGAGGAGAAAAATAAAGCGCCTGTTACCAGTCCATTGTTGTGGCTTTTCCCACGTTTACTACATGAACGTTGCGTTCATAAGCTCGTCACCTTGGAATTTGGTTTGAACAACACTTTTTCCCTCTTTTCTTTCTCGCCGCTGTGGTTGGACATAAACTTAACTTTGACTGAGCAAATCTTACTTTTGCCTCACTGAGTCTTTGTCCTCGCAGTTATTTCCTGTGGGTTATAATTATGCTACTGTCGGTGTTTCCGGTAGCCAGAAAGGCGACAATTTTCGTGTAATAGATCGTGTTTTGATTGGTGCTTTTGATATCACCGCCGTCAGTCAATACTTGTGGGTGTAGGATGGCCGGAGAGCCACAGCAATGGACTGGTGACAAGCGCTTTATTTTTCTCCTCCCTCTTCTCGCGCTTCGGGCACGTTTCGCACGTTTTTTTTTGAAAATGCCGCGTTCACCTCGTTTGGCTAATAAACCGCCTGTTATGCAGGCTAACGATAGCCTCCCCGCTGACGTCCTTTGGGGTTGGATTGTCACGCATTAGGCTGACGATAGAAAGAGACGAGCATTCAGTCCATTGTAAGGTTCCACTGGACATAACAAGGGCACCCGGCCAACGATGGTTTCCTCTTAAATACACTGGGAAAACTCTTTTTAAGTTTTCCAGCGTACTTTTAGATCTCTAGAAATGCATTCTGAGAGGCGCTTTCCAGTCTTTTCGAAATTACAAGGGCTCAGTTCAGAATTATTTCCATAAAATTTTAGATGCAATTTAACGTTTTACGAAAGTGATAATTTCTTTTTATACCTCTCTCCATCGCATTTTTAGATCGGAAAATTTTAAGTTTCGTTTTTCTACGAAAATTAGGGGGACTGAGTATAAAATATGAGAAATTGAACTTTAGAAAATCGTAGGGAACTTATTACATAAGCTTCGAAAATTGTACCTGAAAGGAATGGTAACCTAACAATTTTTAGTCTTTCCCCAGCAAGGAAAATTCTGGGCAATATTTGCTTCTCCGAACAGATAATTCACCGAAAACAGTCGTTGGTTACCCCTGACACAAGTTTTGACACAGCAAGGAGTGTTCCATTAATTTAGTATAAAAAGTGTAATTGTTTGTGTTTATCTTCTATACCCATTCTTCACGGTAATTCTGAGTTCAATTATTGTTGAATCGCGTTTGGTTCCAATTACGACCAACGAATATATCATTTCTTGTTTGATTTATTGTACACATGATATTTCAACTTGTGGGTTGAGGAACAGTTGCTAGGGTCAATCGGGATCCATTGCTACATAACGTGACTTAATTTTAGAAGCTTTATACATCAAGTGTGCATGCTGAGTTTCTTGTAATGATCAAGTATTTGAGTCGATTGTAAAATTTCCTTTGAAAAAGTAAGACGTGATTAGATAACACCATCCTCGGAGACCCAGGAGCTGCTAATCTGGACGATAGAATGTTGGAGGTTAAAGTTTACTATGTGATCGAGAAGAGCCCCTGGGCTCGGTTGCATAAAGCGTGCAATTAAGTGCCCACTTAATTTTATATCAGCAGGAGAAAATGCTTCATCATTAAAAAAAAAAAAACAAACAAACAAAACAAGAAACTTCGATGTAAAATATTTCTCGGAGGTAAACAAAGCACATTAGAACGGATTTAGGGAAAGAAAAGACTTTTTTCACTTCTCAGTAAAAGATCTCTTTAACTGCCATTTTTCCCGTAGATGAAGTTTTATGTAACACCCCCCAATTTCCGTTGCATAAACGATTCTTAAGTGACAACAATTAAGAAAATCGTAAGTGCAGCCACTTGACTGAATTCCCTAAGTGGACCACCTAAGTGATTTAATGCAACTCACTTAAGCTACGAGTACACGTACGTATACCCGTAACTGTTACGGGAGTTTCATGCAACCGGGCCCTGGGCACTTTCTCTTATGGAAGCGAATGAATGGCCTGCTTCTGATTGGCCAGAAAATAAATTTCTAGTGTATCAGCGAAGCCGAGCAGCCGGGTGACTCTTTGCAGGTGTTTTCTAACACCACGTGGGTTTCCTCATCGATCGCCATAGTTATTACCTAGCGCGTTCAACGGGGAAAGTCTCAGAACAAAATGTTAACGAAGCCGAAAAAATAATGCCTTTGCGATTCTATCGCGCTTTTCAAAAACACGCGAAATCTGAAGCTCAAAAGCCAACTGGTGTTTGCGTTTTTCGCTGCTGTCAATCATCTTAGCGGACCTCATGGGAAAAAACTTTACTTAAATGGGTTCAAAAGGTCATGGTTTGTGATTTGTGATTGGTGGATTTCGATCCGGTTTGTGTGTTTCTGTGTTTCAAGATCCCTTGCTTGTGATCGTAATTATGACTGACGGCAGCGGAAAACGCAATTGTGAAGACTATAGAGTGTATTCACATGACACTACGGTGGCCATACTTATGTAAAAAAACTTCTTTTGTTCCGATAAATTTGCACAGATCCTCGCCACGTGAGTGAATACGCTCCATAAGACGGGTTTTGAATTGTAGAGTTCACATGTTTGTGAAAAGCGTTGTAATACCAGTATGGGCATTAACTTCGTGTTCCGGACACAAATGACGTAAAACAAAAGAACAAAAATATCATGAAACAAAACGTTTTGCTAATTGTTAGTCTTCGTCGTTTTTAGCTGAGATTTAATAGTAATAATATTAATAATAATATCAATAATAATAATAATAACAATAATAATGGCTTTATTCAGCATTTCCACTAGGTGGCTTTTCATTTATTTAAAACTTGTTTGCTGTAAACTAAAGTAGAAGGAGCTTTTTATAGAGAAAACCTTGACCTTTCGCATTTATTCCAAAAACAGTAGAAATAATAGTAAAAGAGTGTATTCATGATACCAACCATATGTTTACAAGACAAAATTATCATTCAGATAAATTTCTGAAGAGGAATCCCAGCACCAACTTTCGAGAAAAAAAAAAACAAGTAAACAAAAAGACAAAAACGAAAGACGGCTTTGCCTGTCGACTCCTGGCAGCTTTTAATTTCGATGCTTTATTCGCTATAACATTGAGTAAATCCCCTTTGAATTTCTACATATGAGACTTTTTACTTTATTAAATGTAAATGTTGTAGTTAATTTTACCTCAGATAATTTTTATTTTTCTTATTGTTTCAACTTCATTAGCGTACATTAACATACCCAAAAGCAAAAGCAAACCAAAAATTACCTGAGATAAAAAAAAAAAAAAACTACAACATATACACCGGACGGATTTAATTTCAACCATGGTATTTGTGTGGTGATTACACTCTTCAAGGTAGCTTTTATTACCTGACATGTGAAAGTTTTTACCTGTCAGTTTACGAATGTTCCTTGTGTGACATAATTCATATAAAGTGATTAAAAGCTCTTAGACTCAACACGTGCGCATGCTCGAGAACGCCATTCCCAATACAACTCAACTTTCAGAACTGTGAAACGAGAGCAAATAGAAATCAAAGATTGGGATGAGATTAACTCTCACGGGATTGGCTTGCCTAGTCCTGGTTCTGCGTCTTCCTAGGCCTTCTCGGTCAATGCGTTTCGGTGAAGTATCCAACGCTCAACAAGAACTTACTCAAACCACGTGATCCGAAACGCTTCAGACGCGCGCAATAATGAGGCCTAGGGACTAGGCAACGGATAGGCTTGGTCGCTTGGTTAACCAACATGGCTGTCGTTCATTGTTTTGGAGGGTTGTCCTGCAGTTATTTCAAACAAGGTTTGTGATTGGCTGAGAAAACAATAGGGATGGTGATATAACAATGCTCCTATCCCTGAAAACAATGCGTAGTGCAGGTTATAGGGACCAGTGAAATAAGAGGTTTGGATAGGGGCAGGTCAATCGGTTTTGGAAATAAGACAAATAAGGCCACGGCAACGTCATATAAAAACGCACTTTGAGAAGCTACAAGCTGTCTGAAAAGTTGAAAATAGTGTGTTGAACTTTGGCTAATGCAAGCTCGGGCGCATATGTCAGTTAAAAAAAAAACTAGCATTAATAGAAATCGAATAGCTTTTAAGAGGTAACCCATCCTAAAGGGCCTTTACTACCAAATGTTGTTGTCTATGCTTTTAAAGTTTGGGAAACGCACGTTGTAATAAAGAGCACTTTGTACACCAGCTTTTTTTTTGTCATTCGTTTTGATGCCTTCTAGAAACCCCTGTGTCTCTCTAATAGCGGAGCTCTCGCGCGCGAAGCGCGCAGCGGAGCACCATGGGTAAGAAAATGTGGTAAACTACCCATCCAAAAAAATTTGGTAATCACGTGACCGTACACCAAGCTAGCGACCGTCCGTCCTCACCACGGGCATGCCAATGTAAAATAACTCAATCAACAGGTATGGCAACCCAAATGCTACTCAAGGTTTTATTTAGAAGAAAAAACAACAACATAGTCGTGTCTTTTTCGGCGTTATTTTTTATGTTTACATTAACGTGGACAACAGAGAAAGAGCTAGAGCAGGAGACGAATTTCTTAGGAAGAAAAACATGGAAATTCAAAGCAGCGGTGAGAAAATGAGAAATGCTAGCGACCAGCAAGGTGAAAATGAGCGGCAATGAAAAATAAAAGCGAACATGAACACAGGAGACAAAATATTGGACAAGCACATACGACAATTCCTCCATGAAAATAATGTGTAACTAGGAAGTTTGACGTTTTAGCCGTACAAAACAGCGTTGTAGTCGTGCAAAACAACAACAAGGGAAAGACAAAAAAGCGTGCTGCTCGTGCAAATTTTTTTTTGCTAATTAGAAGAAAAAGTGTGCTGCACGTGCTATTTTTTTTTTTTTTTTTTTTGCTAATTACATCTATTAGTCTTGAAGCCATATTCATTGTCGTCCGCGTTTAGCGTTACACGACTTATTTTTTTTGTTGTTTACACGTATCATTAACCAGAGCTTCGCTTTTAGCCCTGGCTAAATCTATATATAGCGCGGAGCCCCATAGCTATGGAGATGTGGTAATCTATATACCCATCCGAGAAAGTTTGGTAATCACGTAACCGTACGCCGAGCGAGCGAGCGATCGAGCGACCGCGCGTCCGTCCACACCACAAGTATACCAATGTAAAATAACTCAATCAACAGGTATGGCAACCCAAATACAACTCAAGGTTTTATTTGGAAGAAAGCACCTGGCCGCCCGGACTTTTAGAGAGAAAAACAGCAACAAAGTCGTGTCTTTTTCTGCGTTATTTTTTATGTTTACACTAATTTGGACAACATACAGAGAAAGAGCTAGAGCGAGTTATTGAAAACAAAGGAGACGAATTTTGTAGGAAGAAAAACATGGAAATTCAAAGCGGCGGTGAGAAAATGAGAAATGCTAGCGGCCAGCAAGGTGAAAATGAGCGGCAGTGAAAAATAAAAGCGAACATGAACACAGGAAACAAAATATTTGGTAAGCACATACGACAATTCCTCCATAAAAATAATGTGTAACTAGGACGTTTGACGTTTTAGTCGTACAAAACAGCGTTGTAGTCGTGCAAAACAACGGCAAGGGAAAGACAAAAAAGCGTGCTGCACGTGCAAATTTTTTTGCTAATTAGAAGAAAAAGTGTGCTGCACGTACATTTGTTTTTTTTTGCTAATTAGATCTATTAGTCTTGAAGCCATTTTCATTGTCGTCCCCGTTTAGCATTACACGATTTAATTTTTTTGTTTATAAGTTTTATTAACCAGAGCTTCGCTTTTAGCCCTCGCTAAATCTATATATTATAATACTAGAAATACGTGTATCGCAGAACCTCGCGAGGCTACCAATGCAGGAAACCCGTAGAGGGTGGTTAGCCTGGCAACTCTTGGTTGGGGTGTGCCGCCCGGCTTCCCTAATCTTGACCCTACAGTTTCAGACCAAAATATGTCATTTTCCCCACCCGTTTTCAGACCTGCCTGCACCCGACCCGGGACATTTGAGAGACGGGCCACCTGGGTCGAGTTGTTCGAAGCTGGGTTAAGGTAACCCAGGGTTAGTGCGAAACTTAAACTCGGATATCAGAGCTTAAAAAGCAAGTTCAGTTTAATTCTCTTTTCCTACAATTTGGCGATAGGATACTCTAAAAAGTGGAAGTGCTGATAAGAAAATTAAATGTCTCAATCCAACCGGCTACGTACGTAAATAGACAAGTCGACGTTTACTTGAACTTTCCACAATAGTGTTTTTAATATAAGTCCTAATGAGTTGACCGTGGTAAAATAAAAGAAAGTTATTTATTATTCTATAAAAAGGAGGGGGTTCCCCCCCTTCCCCCACGAAAAAAAAAAGTGCCGGCCATGATTTCCAATTCGCATATTCTTCTTTCTTTCTCATTCATTTGGAATTAAAATGACAAATACGCTCACACACTCCCATAATTCCCTCGAAAACCATACCCGTTTCCCGACCATATTATATGGACAAAGTTTATTCATGTTTTCAGATCGAAACGGTGGAAAAACCATACCCTTTGGGGTGGCATGCGCCTATTCCTGAATCAGCCTATATACGCCCCCTCAGGCCAAGAAACCCCTAGTGATTGCACGTTTACTTACACCCTCCCCCCAAAAAAGAAACAACCACAACAGCAAATCTACTGTTCGTCACAACTACTTATACTTATAAGTAGTACTTATACTTATACTTATTCATTCATTATTCACATACAGCTATTTCGAGGAAGGTTGTCGGGAAAAGTGCACGCGACAATCCTGAAAGGCATTGTGGGTGGTTTTGAGTTCTCTTTTTTTTTCAAAGAAATTTGAAAGAATTGGTACGAAAAGCCATGCAAATGTGTTTGCGAGTGCTAAAGGAAAGCAACAAAAGTAGGTTCGACAGCTACAGTCGTCAGGAACCTTGTACTGATCATATCCCATATTACCTTTCTGGATTGTCGCGTGCACATTTTTTTCCGACAACCTTTCTCGAAATAGCTGTATGCAAATTTCGTGCGTAGCGTGGAGTAGTCAACAAGGCATGGGACGGTTATATCGTCATCATTGGGTCAGCCGGATACTAGAGGTCGGTGAAATCTCTTAACTTTGTTCGTTCAAAATAACGGAACAAAGCACGACAATTAAGAAAAAATACCTCTAACACCCAGGGTATTTGCATCTAAAAATACTTTTCTTGGGCCGTTAGACGTTCTCCAGCGGACATTTTGGGGGTCGGCCCTCGTTTCATCACCCCCCCGGTTGTGTACTCCCTTATAATTATAGCCTATACGGGAAAGTACCGCTGGACAAGGTGTGGCTTTTGACCTCTCTGTCCTAAACAGGGTGTATAATTTCGTGTGAGTCTAGTCTGTCAACAGGGCATTTCCTGCAAGATTGATTTGACGGATTTGCAAGATAAATTTTGTTTGTACACCAAGTATACAGAAGCCTATAACGTGAATTTGCGCTATTGCAATTGCCAATACTGGCTTTAAAACAGGACAGCGTTCATTTTTCCTTTGTCCTAAACAATTGTGGTTGTTGCCTTTAGCCGAGTATGTATTTTAGAATTTTTTTGTCCTAAACCGGGTCAGGGTTTCAAACCCTCAGCGACTCATCCATACTCAAATATTGGTCCAGTATCTCCCCGTGCCCCCGAGCCGCGCCCTGTGGACGAGGTTGTTCCCCCCCCCCCGGGAAAATTGCAAAACAAATTGCACGTTTTTATTGCCCGATTTAACTTGCGTTAATAGGTTTGAATGACATCTAAATTACCGTTCGGTTTGCAATCAGTTTTATTCGAATTACTGTTATTTGCCGAACTATTAGAATTTAAAGCAACAACAACAAGTTGAGGTTTCAAAATGGCTCCCTCTCAATCTTGGCCTGAATTTAAACTAAAAAAAAACAAACTATCCTGGCCACTGCGTTTGCATCATAGTTTTGTCGAATGAATATTTTAATCAGAAAAAAAATTGCCCTGAGTTCACGTTTTGAGCCAATCCGCATTGGCCACATTTTGCAGCGCGGACTACTCCAGGAGCGCATGCGCCGTCTTTGCCGCGAACCTCGAAAATATTGGTAACTTCACTCGCAACGAGATGCAAATCGATTTGTCTTTTGGAATTCTCCCGATATGAATGGGCTGCTGCTTTTAAAATTCTACTTGTTGCTTTACTTTGTGGAGCCTGGATCGTTTGATTCGTCCACTGAAGGATGTTTCTGTGAGGTGAGCTCTAGTACCGTTGCTGGCTTGTTTAGGTGGTGTTAGCAGTGTTAGGCGGCAAGAAGTCGACCGTCCTGCTGTTGGCAGCTGGCTTTTGTTTTCATGGATTTTAATTCAGCTAGTATTTAGTTTAAAGGTTAACCAATGAAGCCGTATAGGTAGATCCGATCTTAGGTTATGTTTTTTGTGCTCTAGATTGGCTCTGATCCGCGATTGTTGTTTTCTAAAATATACCCTCACGGATTACTTGCGATCGCTGGTGATTTCTGGTGGGACATGTTTATAAGCTGAATATTTCTTAAAGTTTTTGAGGCCGATTTAGCTTTCTTTCAAATGAGCTGTAACCTGATGCTATTACTTCAACATGACAGCATTCATTTGTCAAACCAAATATCCCTTTTACCCAATATCGACCAATTTAAGCTTACATTTGTAAATTACATAACAATCTTGTACCTTAAAAGGAGGTTTAAAACATTTATAAGCTTAATCTTGCTAGGTGATGCGCATTTCTTAATTTCTTAACCTGCATATTTGATTTTTTGAGCATACTGAAAAAGTTTTTTTAACGTGAAATTTTTAATTTTTATCGTGGCGTATTACCATTGGCGCGTTCTCGTAATTTCCTACTGGTTGCGAGGGGCAGCTGATAGCTTAATAGCTTGTTCTGATCCCTTGTTCTAGGGCTTTCATGAACAGCTTCCTACTTTATTCGCTTCCACTAAATTGTATCAGAACATTGAAACGAACTTTGCTAGCTTTGGACTTGCTGATTGATAGGAATAATGTTTTACACATCTATTGTAAAAAAAAATATTGTTAAAAAAAGAATTGAGGACTGTAGAGACAGCTGATCAAATTCAAATGGAATATTGAAAGAGAATGGTGTGAATTTGAGAATTTACATGGCTGATTTGTTCAGAGAAAGTGCATTAATTCTGTGGCCAAGAAAATTATTTCCATGCAAGCTCCCCTCCTCCCTTTTAATTTTTAAACTATGTGCACTGAATAACTGATGATTTAGTTTTGTATATATATTATTTTTAGTACATGCAGGCAGTTTGCCGTAAACCACACATGATGATTAAGAGAGAACAGAATAATGATAAATCTTAACATCAAATGTAATGATTCGTTTTGAAGACTGTAGCTGTTGCACTTATACAATGTCTGCAAATAGTGAAAGAGTGACCCTTTCACAAATTCCTCTTCTTTTTTAAATTAATACAGTGCAGTGTAATTTTTGGTGGTAGATATATGTGCATTTGTCAGACTTGTGTGTTCTTCAAGTTTGTTCAGTTTTGCAAAGCTTTCCATGGCATTTATACGATGTGCATGTATGTGCTTGTAAAGTTACAAACCAGAGTACAGTACCACCGGCTAATGGTATGTTTATTAACCCACCATAACATTGTGTACCTATGTGTTGTCCCAAAAGATATATCTTGTACAATGCTGAGCTCTTGGGAAAAAAACAAAAGAAAAAAAAGCGGCTTTTTCCCAACGCAAAAGGGTCCGACATTGGAGTATGGCTGTGGCAGGAATTTTCAAAGTAAACTTTTTCTCAGGTAAACGCAATATTCACCATAAGTTGCAATTATTAGAACCTTAACCAGGATGCAAAGAAAATCATTTTTACAGCTTGCCATTTATTAGCCCAGACGTCATTTCAACTAGCCCCAAAAGCTTTTTAAGGAGCAGAATTGATCTCACAGTTCTTTTGTTATTCGAATTCCTCAAAAAAGATCACTTGCCCGTCGGGCAAGTTAAAAACAGAATTTACTAGCCTGATAGCAAAATCCACTAGCCCCGGGCTATCGGACACTACTTTCTTTGCACGCTGCTTAACACAAAATGTCAACTGTGATGTGGTCTGCTTTTTTACTTGAGAATGGATTTTACCTACAGCACAGAAACAGAATAGAATGATGACAATGTTGTACTGTACATTTAGGTCAAAATGAAATCCAAATAAATATTTTGTACAAAGCTAGTTGAAACACTTTGCCCTAAATAGCCTTTTTGAAATTTTGCTGACTTAAAATGAAAAAATGACGTTTTTCGCTCCCCCTCCCCCATCAAACAATGATATGCCATTGTATGAGCTACCTGCAGGAAACAACAAACATCCTAACTTTGAATGGGGAGGAGTGGGGGGGGGGGGGGTTGCTTTTTTTGTTCCCCTGTTTGCCATACATTTTTGAGGACAGTGTGTAAGTGTCATCTCTGTATGCTCCATGGGAATTGACTGTACTTAAGGCTGTGCTCTAAGGAAGTTTGAAGGGAGCCCGGTGCTCTGAAACTGTAAAATCTTGGTTGCCCAGCATATGATTTGTATGAAAAATAGTAAGATTTTCTAGTCAACTGAGAGCAAAAGTTAGGCGCCAGTGGCCACCAGACTCTTCTAGAGCTCAGCCCTGGTGCTTTGTATGAACATGAACTTTTTAATTGCAAAGTGGTATTTATACCACAAGTGATATTTCAAAATTGTTATTATACACAATTTCCCGAGCCGTTAGGCAAGTGAAATTTAAGACAATTTTGAAATATCACAAGTGGTATTTATGCGAAATATCACGTACAAATCATGCTATTATTTGTTTATACTACTACCCGCAAAGGTCTTGTAATTTTCACATGTAGGTATTCCAAATTAAGCTGAAATACCACTGCTCTAAGCCAATCAAATTGCAAAAATTTCTCATCTAGTAGTATAAATACTGTAAGCAGTTGAAATATTTATCAGTAGTTGTTGTTAGTTGTGTTTTTAAAATTGGTGTAATGAGGGTCTAAACACAGTGTCTTAACAATGTTTGTTGGTGATCATGGGTTGATCGATTCTCAGTGTCTTTGGTCTCCTGGCCCAATTTTATTTTTATTTTTTTATTGTAGTTGTCTGGAAAGCCAGAGGAATGTTGTTGTGACGTGGAGACAGTGGATCAGATAAACAAGGAAATTCATCCAGTGATAAGTGAGCTTGTCAAGAAAAATTTCTTCAAGTTCTTCAGGGTATGTGATATTACATACATAGAGGCTGCTTGTTCAAAGTGACTGAATTACATGTAATTAACAATGATTATGTAACATTTCAAGCCAAAAGCCATAGCCATGATCACTAATTTGATTCTGATGGCTCCAAGAGGTTCCAAGGGTGCAAAGAAGGAAAAAACAACCTATTACAAAATGTTTGTAAATACAGTGTACACGTACACGCATGTACATTTCCTTATAATGTAAGCCAAAATTTAATTGGTTATGGCATCTGTACTCTGACTCAGAGCTGTAAAATGTTGAGAGCAATATAACTGTATACATGTAGAAAATTGGATTTTTATTATCCGAAAGTTTTTGGGGGATTTCAAATTATCGAAGAACTTATTAGTCAATCCTGCTCGTCAAAACTTTATTTTTTCCTCTTATTCATCACTTGCACATCTCTCATAATGTACCTTATTTCCTCCCGAAAAATTTGCATAAGCATTGTTTTCAGTTTCTCTTTGGGATGGCTGTAATACATTGTTCTCTGGAGAAATGAAAAACTAAGGTTATGCAAAATTTTTTTTTTGGTTGGGGGGGGGGGGGCAAATACTGTAAGGTGCACAATGGGAGATGTGCAAGTGGCGTATTGGCTATATGTTGCATAAAGAGCCTAGAAATCAGCACAACATACAGAGTACAAGGTAGATGTACATTGTAGTCGGTAAGGTACTAACAGTTACTGCAAGCAGATAACTGACTAGTCTATAGGTTGTGCATTTGATGCATGATTTTGTAGAGCAATGTCAAACTCTGTTCCATGCAACAGGTGTGCTTGTCATTATTTTCTTTAAAGTACCTCCCAAAAGTAAGTTGACAGTCACTCTCATGTTGATCCTTAAGACTTGAATATTCTTGTTTCTGGATTCTCAAAACTTTCAATAGTCATGTCTCGAGTCTAGAGAATTGATTTTCCAGTTTCGATAATTGGGTTGTGTTTTGGGTGTTGAAGCAAGAGGTGACATTATGCAAATGTTTGTCACATGTTAGCATTAATTTTTCTATCTCACTGCAAATAGGTACACTTGTTTAATATTGTAGTCTCTTTTTTTGAGATATCCTGAAAATAATTTCAGGTCTTTGTAAGTTATTGTTTTCAGCCTGGGCTGGTTACCTTGAGATTCACAAAAACCCTATAAAATTATAAAATTGTATATAATCATAATCTTACATGTAATTGCAGTGTAAGATCATTTTCAACTGTTTTTTTCTTTTTTTGTGCAAATTAACATTTACTTGTACGTGTTTAATAATAGGGTGCGTTTCTTTGGGATGATCCGGATCAGCATCACTAATCCGAGATCACTCGGATCATGGTAGATCAAGTGAACCAATGAATCCTTGTACAGAATGGATTCATCGGTTCATTTGATCTACTATGATCCGAGTTATCTCGGATCACTGATCGTGATGCGGATCATCTCAAAGGAACGCACCCATAGATTCACTCAGTTGTAATTAATTTCCATCAAATTTGCAGGTTAATTTAAACAGACCATGTCCGTTTTGGCCTGATGATGGAGCTTGTGCACTCAGGGACTGCTCTGTTAATGCATGCAAAGAGGTTAGTATAGATTATAAATACTGAAAAATGACTTGAAGAAAAGCAGCAGAGACATTCCAAAATGTAACAATCCATGGTCTGGTCATGAGAACATGTCTTATCTTTAATAGAAACATTGCAAATGGGTACAAACTGGGTTACAAGCCTCCTGAAATGGAAAAGGTCATTTTCACCCTTGTTACCTTCAGATTTTTTCTATCACTCCTCTGTAATAAGCACAAAATTTATTGTTCCCTCTCCTTTGAACAAAAATTTTATATAATGAGCTAATATAAGACTGTCACAATTTTGTGCTTGCTGTCTCTTTTTTATGATCGTTTCCTCTTGCAGGGAATACACTCCCACTGATACCAAACATTCGATTGCCTGTCTGTTTTTTGTTCTCTTGAGGAGAAAAAAGAAGTGAATAAGTTGATCTTCTTACAATGCTCAATGAATTGTTTAATAATTCAGTTTCCTTGATTAGCCGCAAAAGGATATAAAAATAATACCAACTGAAACTATTCTTGTTTTATCAGTCCTTCTGAGTTACAATCCCCCATTTTTTTTCTTGTTAATAAATTGTTGCACTTCAAGCTTGGGTCATAAATGAACAGCAAAAAACTCAGTCTCAGGTCCCAGATTTTTAGTAAGATTAAATAAATATCAATGTGATATAGCTAGAAATTTTTCCCAACAGCGCATGCTCTCATTGGTTATTTCAAGGTCACATGACATCTAAAAATGATACCGTTTCTCACCAAAATCTCTGGGCCGGAAACACTGCAAAATTTATGATGTCAGGGGGTAACAGGGGTAACAGTGCACCGTTACCCGGTCTACCTGCAAATGATGACTGACGATCACTGTTACAGTGAGGTTTTAATGAATTTCCAGCTTCAAAACTTCCTGCTACCTCTATATAACAAATAACTTAACTAATGTTATGCGTATCTTTTTCCCCCATAAAACTTTAGGAGGAACTCCCAGAAGGCATTAAAGCTGCGGTAGGTACATGTATCCATTTTGAATTGTCACTCATGCACTTTGCCTCTATAATGGTATTGATATATTTTAATTATTATATAATTATTGTAATTATTACATTTCATGCTGTGTAACAGGACTCAAAATACAATCTAACGGCCAGTCAATGGACAATGTCTGGATTGATTGGGGAGTTTGCGAGTCAACCTTTTGTCTTACCGGTCATGTTGACCAGTCACATTCAATCATATTGAAAAAGAAAAAATAATAATTTTCATGCTGCTCAGTTGTTTCATTATGTAGCGAGTTCCTGTGTATTGCGAAACTTTGATCTGAATTCCTTAGCAAAATGCAATTAGAACCCTTGTTTACAGTTCGCGCATTGAAACAGACATCGGGAATCATGCACTTCCAGTCACAAAATTAAAAATATCACTTTTATTAGTTAATTTTCTCGATAAATAGAAATTTTCTTCCCTTATAATGGGTAGTAAACATGGATTGCCGGCAGAGTTTTAGGATCAAGATCTCACACCGTGATACACTGTACGTACCCAGAAATCATTATAAGGAGGCGCCAGATAGATTTTATGTGTTCGTTAATGATTTGTAAGGTGTTACAGGTTCGTCTTACAGACAGTGTACCTAAATACATATTTTCATTTTGCCGCTGTAATTTACAGTGAGTGCTTAAAAGTACTATAAACTCCAAGCAACCAGGTTTTTTTTTATCTATACAGTGAAACCTGTATTAAGCGGACACCCTCTATTAAGTGGACAGTAGCCGAAGTCCCCAAATTTATTTCCCTTATTTACTTTAAATGAAACCTTTATTAAGCGGACACCTCTATTAAGCGGACACGGACACCTAAAAAGTATCTAAAAAGGGCCATTTATAATTATTGTTGCCAACCTGTATTAAACGGACACTTGTAATGAAATTCCACCACCCAACATGCCAGACACCGGAAATGCGAAAGATTGCCTCGAATTGCCACCCACAAATTTTTCGATTTTTACATTAAAAAACGTGACTTGACGAACTTATTTGATTAGTTTCACAGTACAGGATTATTTTCTATTTCGTTTTGTTTGTATAGAGCTTGTTTCACTCATCTGATTTCTTCAAATTTGAGTTGCAATCCATGTTTATGGTACTATGATCAATATTGGTTCACTTTGATAAAGAAATTAATGCAAACGTCTATCGTCATAGTTTCTGGGAGTATTATAAACGCTTCCACTGTTCATTTGAATGGCATTTGACACCTCATATGACGTTATATATCGAAACCTTTATTAGGCGGACACCCTGTATTAAGCGGACACCACAGCATTCCCCGAGGGTGTCCGTGTAATACAGGTTTCACTGTATACATAATGTCAGGTTTTGGTTCATGGGCTCCTGTGTTAAGAGTTTTTTATCTTATAAATTTGACCGGCCAGAAAGGATACATGTATGTGACCAACCTAGAATGAATTTGGCTGGTCATCGTGTCCAGCTCGACTCTCTGGAAATTATTTCGAGCCCTAGTGTAACTACATGTACATGTAAACCAAAGTATTGATAAAGCCTTAATCTAACTTGAAACAGGAGCGCCAGGAAGCTAATAGGAGTGATAAACATAAGAACAGTGTTCATAAGCCACAGTCAGACAGTGAGGTAAAGCTTTAAAAACGTTTTTTTTCTTTTTTTTTGTATTTCAAAGTTGCCTTGGTGGTGGTGATGCTCTAATACAGTACACAGGGTGCAAAGAAAGGCAGTTTTACAGCTTGCCATTCGGGCAAGATGTGGCTAGCATTTACGAACCCAAAATTTTTATTTCAACTAGCCCCAAAATCTTTTTGATAAGCAGGATTGATTACACAGTTCTTGATCTGTAATTTGAACTCCTCAAAAAACTTCACTTGCCCATCAGGCAAGTTAAGAACTGAATTCACTAGCCCGATGGCAAAATCCACTAGTCTCAGGCTATCAGACACTACAGTACTTTCCTTGCACGCTGGTACAGCTGTATACAGTCAGCGCTCTCTGAACAGACACCTCTATAAGACAGACACGTGGCTAAAACAGACACTTACAAAGTAGAGTTGGTCCCTGACTCTCTATAAGATGGACATCTTTCTAACATGGACACTTGGTGCCAGCCCCAATTAGTTAATTCATCTGAAGCGCAAGATAATGATAATGCTTACTGCAAAATAAGTAATTAATACAATTGGTTGTACATTGAAGTTTTTTGTTATGGAGATATTCAATAGGGCTTAATTTCCTGAATAAATTCATTTCTACATGCTATAAAATAACATTATAATAAGCATATTAAGCTTCTAATTATAATTAATACTAATTAATGTGTGCAATAAATATTCTAATGTTCAATGTAAAATACTATTTATTTTATGTAGACGGGAGTATTTTATATTGACTAATGCAGATGTCACTGTGAATGATACATTACCTGTAAAAGCTTAGACCTCAACCCAGGAAAGGGTTGTGCAAGTCATTTTTGCCTGTACATGTGGTGCACTGAAATAAAAGTGCTTTCCTAACTGAGGTGTAGATTATTGGATAGTTGGAATCCATCAATCTTGGGAAGATGTTATGGCACTCAAATGTACATGCAGTGTTATTGATTTGTCCTTTATCATTGCAGGGCCAAAAAGGTGAAACGTGCCAGTTATCAGACAATGATACTCTAGGGGAAATTGATAGCACTATCAGGTACGTGATTGTATTTACATACTACCAAATTCATTGCATTGCACTGCACATTTTGCAAAGTTCAAAGGGATTTTGAGTTCTGTTCCATCAATCATTTGAGTGGGGGCAGGGTTAATGTAAATCACAATGCGACGCACTCGCCTAGCTTTGCCTACAAAAACAAAACTGACATGGAACTGAAAATGAATCTGGACTGCTCGAGAATTATAGCAAAGGAAATCATGATAGTGAGTGGAATTTTTGTCAAAGGAGGGTCCTTGCCTTGTGACAACTTTATAATTACGCAAGTTGTGTTTGCAAAACTGTCTCGAATTCTCCCAACCCCCCTAGTGTTTATATCAGGCTACACAAACATGCAAAACATTTTCTATTGCTTAATTGTAACTGGTGGCACAGCTGTAGATGTACATGCACACCTTAAAGCCTCTCCAGTTTGATGCCCCCTCCCCCAATCTCCTCTAAGGTGTGGCTCCCCTCTAAAGGTTTAAAAGTGTGACTAGTGATCACTTTAACACTGTAAATCTCTTATATACAGTAATACAGTGATATGTTATGAATTTTTATCTAGTGATGAAGATAAACAAGCATTTGAAGCATGGCATGCTCATGATGATGCTGAAGAAAACTTTTGTGAGCTAGATGGTGAGCAGTGTACAAGAAGTACATTTGTATTTTAGCCCTTGCATGAAGTCCCAAGAGTGGCCAACATCAATTTTCTCCCAACAATATTAATACATAATGGGGAGAAAAGGTTAAGAGATTTAATAAAATGATCACCTATCCAGGAAAATGCTCTGACCTTTTATCAAATTCTCTCAACTGTGAGAATTCGTAGGTTGATATTAGGATGTTACGAATGTTTTGTTCGTGTTTTTTTTTTTTTTTTTTTTTTCATTTTGTAAACTAGTCTGGTGCTCTCTAAGGTCAGCTGGGCCTGGGAGCCAGGTTTATGGATATTACAAGATGTTATTTCGTTTTGATCAGCACAAAAAAAGCACTTCATGGTGAGAGTTTGTAATCTTTACCGAGAGATTAGTAGCATTAAAACAGTCGTGTTCTTTGTGTAACCAGCATGGCTGAAGATCATAGCCAGATTTACTGTACTTTCTGCAGATTAGTGCGAAAGAAATGTTGAATCTATGCTGAGTTTGAATTCAAACAAAGCACAAAATCTGGATTTGGTGATAAGAATCCAGATTTGAATTTTCCCAAAAACATAACACCCTAAGACTCACAGAATAATGTAAAAGCAATTATTGCAAATTTCAGATGAGTCATCTTCAGGAATGGAATATGTTGACCTGTTACGAAACCCTGAAAAATTCACAGGCTATGCAGGATTCTCTGCTCAGAGAATATGGAACAGCATTTACAATGAAAATTGTTTCAAGTAAGTTATACAGTGTATTTGTAACTTGGTTGTGTGCTGATTATTTAACGTGATTTGATTTCTTAGTTTAACGTGATTTGACCAAAAAGAAAGTGTTTTACAGCTGCCATTCACACCATTACTTAGCCCTGATTAAAATTTCCCCAAAAGAATTATTGAACAGAATGTGCAAAATCCACTAGTTCCGGGCTATCGGACATCACTTTCTTTGCACGCTGGACTCTTACTACATGTAATTGTATAATTCCTTTTGTCTACTCAGACCAGCGTCTCCCTACAGCAAGAACTACGGGGTGGTTACCTCCAAGAATGTTGGAAGTAAGTTTTTATGTTTTGAATGAGCAAGTAGTCGTCATAGGGGTCATTATTTTCTGTGTTTGGTTTTGTCTACAGTAAATCCATGAGGGCCATCATTAAGAGCCAAGGGCGGGGATTTCCTCCGGTTATTTTCATAAGAGACAGACGAAAAAGACGACCTAATGAAGCCCCTAGATGTTCAGCGATTCCTCGCCTTCTTATTGCATATAACCAACACTTCGTTTCTCTTTAATTAGCGGGGTTAATTTGGACAACGGACACTTACATGTATGTGAAGTACTATCACGCAACAATCGAGAATCGAGTCTCGATTCTCGCGAGGATCGAGAATCGAGTGTCAACTTACTTTTGAACGGTACTGTATTACAAAGTTAGGCCTTGCAGAAGGAGAAGAGACCAGCAAATCCTTTAAGGTTTTATTTGTTTCGCTTGCTAAACCGCAACTGAAAATGACAGTGATACAAAACCAAGGAAAGTGCTCTCGCGTTTGAAACGCTGAGCAAATCTGGTTAATTTCAGCTCGAGACAGCGAGACGGTGCAGATGTTCCTTCGTTCTCTAAGCCCTTTTATTGCCATTGCAGAGTCTTGTATAAGGTGGCTGGACTACAATGTAACTTTTGAGTTTGTGGACGAAATCCTGCAGTGTGACCATTCAAATGAAACCTCTCTGGAAGAACTTTCACATGATACTATTTGTTTGTTTGTTTGTTTTTGTTGTTGTTGTTTAATTTTTAAGTATTTTCCAAAATGAAATTTGGAAATTTTGTTGAATGTTGACTGCGGCCATTTTCTGCAGCGAATCATTTTATTGTTTATAATTTTTGTGCCTTGTTCTGTTTTGTTTTTATCTTTATATTATTTTTCCCTGGCGTTTATTTTAACAGTTCAGCCGAACATTTTAACATATCCCTTTTGTGTCCGGCTCCTTTATACTATAATTTCAAGTTAATGATTTTAGCAGGAACGCATACAACGAATACCAAAACGAGTGATTTCAAAGTTTGTCCCCTTTCCCATTCCGAAATACGATAAAGAGAGCGTGCCCTAAGTAGAAACAATTTGCTTGTATTGACAGCAATGTGCCTTGAGAAGCGAGTCTTTTATCGAGTGATATCTGGTCTGCATTCCAGCATTAACATCCACTTGTCTGCACTATACCTTTTCAAAGGTAAGTCTAACCTAACCTACTGTAGTGTATACTTTTTTGGGGGTGGATGACAAGATTGTCCTTTGTGGACGTTACATTTCGTCTTGGGGAGGGCAGGGGGAGGGGAAGAACTTCTATCAAACAAATTAGGGAATTAAGTTTGTAATGTGCCTTAATACAATCATGTACTTTACCATTGCACTTGTTATTAAAAGAATGCTACAAGTTAGGTAGAAAGAACAATGTGTAGCAATGAAGGTCAGATAAAACATTTGTGCTTCTTGTTTAAAAGAGACATTTTTGCTCTGTTAAACGTTGTTATTTTTTCCTTCCTGATTTCGCTCTGTCCTTCAGGAAATGGTCTTATGAAACCAAAATGGGGCCCAAATCTTAAAGAGTTCAAGCGGCGGTTTGATCCAGGAACCACAAGTGGTGAAGGTGAGATGCAGTACTGGGTTCTTAGTTAATCGGCAGATTTAGCAAAGACAACCCAACGGCAGTGACGACTGCTCGCGCAAATAAGAAACCAGCTTGATCAATGGCAGAGCAGCAAATTGGGTACTTGAATTTTCGTTTATTCCTTTCCACGCGCTTTCCCTTCGTCAACTGACGTTCCCGTTTCGCTGCTAAATTACTGTATTATGTATTTTTTGTACTGTTTTGTTCCTACTAATTCAAAGTCCATTAATACTACCGTGACTGCTGGGACAAGCTAAGGCCACTGGGGTAGGAAGCTTATGCAACTAAGAAGGCAATGTTAGTGAAAAGGCCCCTTAAAAAGTTAACTCGGGTCGCGCTGTTTCAAACTTGATGGCTTCACTTGCACTTTGTTTAATTTGTCAAATGCACAAGCGATTCTTTCTGGAGTTGCAGTCTTTATGATCCTCTCCACTGGTTCAAAATCGTTGTCTTAGTTTGCATCCTCCATAAAACTTAAATTTAGAACATTTCTCGTGATCGTGCGTGACGGCAAAAAAAAAAATCGTTCGTGCATATGTATGCATGATTTATAAAAAGGCAAAAGGCAAATTCCCCAGAGAACAGCATACAACCTAAATTGCCGTCGTGGTCGCGTAAGCTAGCTCCTTTTTTACAAAACCGTGGTACCAGATCTACGAAGATGGTGTTGGAATGTGGAAATGTTGGTTTTTGAGGAAAAGTGGGAAAAACTTAGCTTGAGAAAACAGCCAACAGTTCGCGAAGCCACTGCTGGTTTCCCCGCGAAATGACGTCTAAGAAACAAGCGCAGAAATTCCATACAGATGACGTGTCTACCTAGAACCTGGTTAGCTAAGAAATGGCTTCAACCAATCACCCAGTTCTGGGTGGCGACACGTCATCAGTAAGGAATTTCTGCGCTCGTTCCTCAGACGTCTTTTCGGCGGGAATGTGGCGTCGCGAAATCTCGGCCGCTTTCTCCAACTACGGAACCAAATGTCAACGTTGTATCCGGCAGGTCCCACCTGGCTAAAAAATCTCTACTTCGCTTACACTGTTGTTCTGAGAGCCATAACCAAAGCAGCACCATTCTGGGAACAGGAGCAGTTTTACACTGGAGACTATGAAGATGACTTGCATGTGCACAAACTCGTTAAAGCTCTTTTAGCAAAATCAAAGTAAGAGAGACATTACTACTTAACCTAGCTTTTTTCAAAAGTAAAAACGTGTCTTCGCATCAGTTGAATTCCAAAAATAGTGCTCCAGTTTTGTAATTTAAGACAATATTAAGGAATTAATTTTCGTTTCCTGTCATCTTTTGCTAAGGATGGCAAGGATGGACATAAGGTGAACGTGGGTCGAATTTTTTGAACGCTATGCCTGCAAAAATCGCCCACAAAAGTACAGTCGACTCTCTCTTAACGGACACCTCTATAAGACGGACACCTCTGTAAAACGGACACCTAGAGGTGGTCCCTGCCTTTCTTTGCTCCCTCTATTGACTTTCTATAAGACGGACACCTCTCTAAGACGGACAGCTAGTGCCGGTCCCAAAGGTGTCTGTCTCAGAGAGAGTTGACTGCATTATGATTAGTGCCGGGATTTGGTGAAGCCCGTCTGAGCAAACCACGAAGTTTCGCGGTGTTATTGCGTTTGAGGTACAAGAGTACCAAGTCGAGTTAGTCGCTAATCTTGGCATTTGCTTTGCTTTTTTTTTTTTTCTCAGAACTTGTCCAAGCACCTTTGATGAGAAACTGATGTTTAAGGACCCGACAAACTCCAATAACCTTAAGGTACATATCAGCTTCTGTTGCCCTGTAGCTAACAAAGGTTTATCAGGTAAAAAGAAGGTTAATTCCGTTTTTACAGAGGAACTGAATCAACTGTTAATTAATTAAATTAATCATTTGACTTCAATTAATCGATCAAAAACATTGTTTCCAAAGGAAAAGATATTTTGAAATCGCGCTCACGCATTCAGTACTGTAGGATTCATTACGAAGATTATCGGTTTTTACACCAGGCCACAGTTGTTCGAAGGCCGATTAGCGCTTAAAGCGGGGTTAAATTTAACCCTGCTTTCTTTTTCTTGTGTTCAAAAGTGTTTTCTCGGACAATTTTCTCCGTTATTTTAAGAGCTTCCAATCATCAACTCGTAGATAAAAAGAATTAAAACTGAAATGCTTAAAAGCTTTCAAATCTGAATTCAAATCCCGCACTGAACCTGGGTTATCTTAACCCTGCTTTGAACAACTCGGCCCTGGCCTCAGTTGTTTAAAAGGGGGATACCGTAGATGACCTACTAAACGCTCTCTTCCAAATAAACGCCTCTTATCTAATTTTATTAGACGTCTCTATCTTATAAACGCCCCCTGTATAATAGACGACCCCTATGAGAATTACTCCAAATACAAGAAATCAGCAAAAACCATTAGCCAGGGTTTGCGTATTTCGTCTTGTTCAATGTCACGTTCAAAATAAGGCAACTCAACCCTGAGCGAGGACTCTGACATCGATGTTGGGATTTGAAAGAGCGATATGAATCTCTAGACGGCCTTGACGTATCAATTAGTGATGGAACAGATATTCTGCTATGTTAATACTCTCTTGATATTTTGCTTAAATCATATTAGTTTTGTTTAACTTGTCACAGTTATGAGAATAAACGCCTCTCTCTTTTAAATGCCTTCTATCTGTTAAACACCCCCGCTTGGACCCCTGAAATTAAATAGACGCCCCAGTTGTTTATTAGGTTATTTACGGTAACGCTATCCATTGTATAAATCTCTATCCAGTGGATAGCGTAAGTGGTTTCCCTAATTCTTATCCACTGGGCAGAGATTTATCCGGTGGATAGAGCTATACGACATTTGTAAAACCGGGGCCAAAATATTTGTTTTCACAATTTCAGGAAGAATTCAGGCTTCATTTCAGGAACGTTTCGCGTATCATGGACTGTGTTGGTTGCGACAAGTGCCGTCTGTGGGGCAAACTTCAGGTAATAACCATACTGAGACTGCTCGCTCCCCTTTCGAGGCTCGCGCAGGATATTCTAATAAAAATAACAACAATAGCCCATGTTCGATATATTAAATTTTTCCAACATGACTCTGAGGCTTTCTGGTCATATTCCTATATTTTGTTTGGTTTTCTTTGTGCTCAAGTTTCTTCTGGAAATTGCGAGACAATGGAGTCGTTAAAAATTTTCAATTTTGTTCCTAAAGCCTCGGAGTCATGCTAGAATTTTAATATAATAAATTATCGAAAGTGGGCTATTAAAAAGTAATCGTGCGATGCACGATGGGAAGGGTGCGGTGGAAAGGCGGGAGCCTCTCGTCCACTCTTTTCTCTTCCCATCGTCCCCAGCACGTTTTCTTTTTCCCCTCTCCCCAGCCTCCCCACATCACACAGGACTCCGCTGGGGAAAGTGGTTAATACTGAGTGATTGCTTAAGTCATTTTCGAGTTCCCCCGGACCTCTGTATCAAAACGAAGTTAAGTGCTCAGCCTTTGATATGGATCCGAAATGATTTTTATTGCCATGCAAGTAAAACTCATTTTCACAAGAAAGGTTCTGCACTTGGCGTCATTTTGAAAGTGAGGGGTTTTGGAACTCCGCAGGCAGTGCCCTATTCACATGACTGTTAAGATGACTTGCCAACTCAGACTACTTGACTGAAAACCAGACAGGTGCGGAGCTGTCACTCAGGAGTGGGGGCGGGGGCGGGGGATTCCACCGCCTACTATGAGCATGATCTCCGGCTACTTATATGGGAAACAAAAGGAACGTCCTAAACGTTTATTTCCCTGCCCTCCAATTGTATTTACCCAGCAACTTGAAATCTTAGTGCTAACCCTGTCAGCAACAAACTATTATTCTTACCTGAAGGAGTAAGAAAATACTCTAACAGGAAATAATTTTTAAGGACGTGTTATGTACTGTGCTCTAGCACCCACAAGAGTTATTGCTTTTGTATTTGTTAATTAATTAATTTACTTTTCCTCGTTCAAAGGAAAGGTGTCCGATGATTTATTTCGATGTATCTTATAAAAAACTCAATCTTAGGGCTAATCAAAGTGTACAATTTCTACTTATGTCCGGTTTTGTACGCAGCTGCAAAAGCACACGAAAAATCGCAAAGCCATTTGCGGATTCTCAGAATTTCGAAAAAAAACCTGATAAACGTTTACGTATGTTCCCAATCTAGTAAAACTAGAAACAATCGTGACTGACTTGAAATAAATACTTCTAAGATCTGTTGCTACGTAAATGAAACAGGCGATCTGCCTTATTCACAACAGGTACAAGGTCTTGGTACAGCACTAAAAATCCTTTTCTCTGGTCACGAATTTGACGATGGGAAGTTTGAAAAGAGCCGCCATTTTCAACTCAGAAGATCGGAGATCGTTAGTTTATTCAACGGTTTCGGAAGGTGAGACGTCACTTAGAAAGTCTTCGTTTTCCTTTCAGTCGTTTTTTGCCTTGTCACGCAACGCAACCTCGTTCATGGGGGCCGAATAGGAGAGGGCCCTGGGAAAGAGGTTGCACGCAACGCTCCTTTCCAACAACTTTTGAGGAGGAGTGTTGCCTGACGAGACAAATACGGCCGCGAGGGAGACTGAGAAAAATCAGGATTTGTTCAAGATCTCAACAACATGTATGTTGCTTATTACTAAAAGATTAATGAAGGCCTAGTTTCCAAAGAATTTTAGAAACTGTGGTTTTGCATTGGTGGGAGAGTTACACTGTAAATGCAAAGATTTGGTTTTATCAATTGATATGTTAAGGTGGATTGGTAGTTGTAGGGAGATCGAGAAGCTGAAGCTTGGAGTACTAGCCCGTCGCCTCCACAGAACTTTCTACTATTGTTAAGCGAGTCAGCCATAATTACAAAACCAGGAACAATGAATTTAAGGTCGTTCATCCGGCTCTGCGAACTAAATTCAGTAAGAATTTCATTACATACCACGGAGTGAGGACCTTCAATGACTGAAGACTTGCAAAGGAATAAAAATCGCTGTCTCAATTCAAAGAGTTGCTAAGGACTGTTAGTTTGTAATTTTCTAGTACAGTTCATTTTTCAAGTATTTGCACTTTAATATATATTTTTTTATTCTCATATATTTTTATCATTTTTTATTAGCCTCGTTGATTTGCTCTGCTTAAGGGGCAAATCTTGTCTAAACAATTGATCAGAGCGAATCGCTCTAACGAGAAGCGAGTGCTCAAAAGGTCACCTTCTCTGTCTCCCTAAGGCGGCCAAACGTATCAGCTCATTTTATAAAACTATATCGGCTTTTGATGCCTATCAATACGTTTCGATCCATTGGTTTTGCCCATAACCCAGTTTGAATGTTTCGGTGTTCCATGAGCCCCTTTGTGCGAGAACACCCTTATGCTTTATATGATATGCTAATGTACTTCTGGAACTCTTCTCCAACAGGTTGTCAAGCAGTATCAGTTACCTACAACTGTTCAAAACAATGGAGCACGGGTGAGAGAATTGTGTATTTTACGGTCTGTTTCATATCCTAGGTACCGGAGGTTTTTTCTCGCGTGCGACGAGGCGCTTCGTCGGCCGACACGTCTTCGGCAAAAGGTCGAAGACACGAGCGGCGAAGGGTACCCAGGGCACCCAGGGTAACTGTCACCCAGAGTATCTGTTTCACCTCTCCTCATAGGCTCGATTACCAGCCGCTGTTCGGGAAAATGAGCCCGCACTCTCATCCCCCGAAAGAGCGGCTGGACGCGTGCGTTTTCCTTTGTTAGTTTAAGCCAATCATGTTACCGCCTGCAGATTTTCGTCTGGCAAAGATTGTCGCAGAAATTATCACATCAAAACAAAAAGTCCTTCCTGTCCTTCCAAGATCCATCGCATGGCGAAGCGATTTCGACGACGCGGAGACACCAGGCGAAATTCTAGAGTCCGAAGGAACACAACGTTTTGTTCGATTGTTTGTTGTGAATGATTGTGGTTGGAGAGATTTTGCATCTTCAAGGATCTTTTCAAGACGCTTTAGGTGTCGATAACTGCGTTCGTTAGATGTAACCGTCGATGTTTATATTTGACAGAGGAACATTCAATACGATGGAAATTCTGTCTGGTAAATCAGAAACTTTTCCATTTAATTTGTTCCGCTTCCGAGAATCAGTCAGTTGGGACCCACAGAAGACGAAATCCAATATTCGAAGATCAGAGAAAATTAACTACATGTCGCCCTGTACAGAAATGTACCGAAGAATCTTTTTCACAATGTATGGAAATGTACCGAAAAACTATTTCGAAAGTCATTTGGGTGGGTAAGGGAGAGCTTGATGCAATTTTGAGCCAAATGAATAAGAAACTTGAAGACCGGTTTCACTTCCAGTGACATCGGAGACGCCTAAATTATCAATTTTTCAATTACGTCACAGACAAGGTCAACGGGTCACGCGTCCAGCCGTCTCTTTTCGGGGAGGATCAAAGACCGGACCCGGGAGACGGCGGAAATCGAGCCTACTCTCCTCATGGTTAGAAAAAAATTGGAATTACATTGTCCATTTGGTAAACAGTTCTCACATTTTGTTTGCCCGGGGCCACTTTTTGCTTCTCTTAGTTAATGATTTTGTTAGAAGATGAGTTGTTTGGACCAGCTGCTCATTGGGCAAGTAAGATTTAGAAGTTACATGCCCAGTAAGTAAATCCACTTGTCCCGGAATCCTGTATTCCGGCGAACGGGACTTTTTCCGACACCTGTCTCCTTCAAAGTATAGGCATAGAAATTATGTCCTTCAGACTTTCCCCTGCGTCCTCGTGAAGTTGTCAGTTGTTCAGCCTAGAAAGAAATATGTATAATTATATTGTCGCAAGTGCGACAGTTGTACCCCTAACTGTTATATGCGACACCCGCAAAAAGGTAGATATTGATTACGTGTATACTGACAATGGTGAATACAAACCTTGCAAAGATCTGTTTTCCGAAATATTTTATCATGAGCTCATAAAACAGTTAATATTGGCGATCATTAACGCTCTGGGCCCCCCAAAGAAACATGCCCGTAGGCTTCTTCCTTCCCTTATGTCGTAATTATTTAATTGTTGTTTGTAACAGGCACAGATAACAAATAACCTGGTGCTGACGCTAAGATCATCGTGTTCACACTGAACTCCTTGTCTCCTCTAGCCGCAAAGAAAGTAAGGAGAGTAATACCGTAATATAAGTGAATGTAGATAAAGAAAAACATAAATCATTTTAATTTAATTTATTAGAGATGTAGCTCATTCGCCACTTTAGAAACAAGAAGGCAATTAAGCTGAGTAAGGTTTCGCGAAGACCTCTGGGACTGTACAAGGAACAGCGAAAAAATGGCCAATGGCTGACCGGCGCGTCCCCATAAACAATCCCAGAAACAAGTGCGGCACATATCGGCTCCAGTTCCCTACTCTCGAACAATGGCGAATTGCAACTTAGGATTAAGTTTGTTACTGTCAGCAAAATTCTGTTTGTCGGTTTTATCCTTATGTCAAGTTTACTTTGAAATACCGTAAAATTCCGAAAATAAGCCCCGGGGCTTATATTTTTCAAAGGCCCTTTTTGATGGGCTTATTTTTGGAGGGGCTTATACACGGAGGTGTTTATCTACGGAGGGAAATTTGCGTTTCAAAATCGATTGGGCTAGCCTTACATTTGGAAGTAAATTTACTGTTTTTGCTTTGTATTACTTTGTATTTGAGGGCAATTTTCCAGGTAAAAGCCCCAGGGGGGCTTATATTTGGAGGGGCGATTTAACGGAGGGGTTTTTGCGTTACGAGTTTGGGGGGCTTATATGTGGAGGGGCTTATTTTTGGAATTTTACGGTATGTCAGTGGACCGGTTGCAAGTTAATCCCGGGCGCTTTCCATCAAGCCCAAAATTCCGGAAAGTTCGGTTAGAAATCAAACGGAAAGGACAAATGGAACGGACCATTTCGGTTCGGTCCGACGGGAATATTTTTGATAAGTTTGAAAGTGGTCTACTTTAACCGGTCCTACCAGTCGGACTGGAATGTCCTATTTGTTGTTCCCAGTATTGTATACTGCTTACCAGAACAATATGGCGGGAATTGGTGAATCTCTGTACAAATCACTCATTTGTGACTATAGAACAATGCACTTACCTGTTTTGTTGATGTATCCATGCTCAACAATCAGACTTCATCATGATTTGATGAATAAGTGGGCTATTTCTTTGGTGATTTCTATTTTACTTTCGCTGTGGTTGTGTTTGTACTTGGCGCGAATCTAACGTGAGATGGCCTGGATCATGTCTGTGAAACAGGACATTTAACGTTTCACTAGATACGTGGAATTTCCGTATTTTTGTTGAATGGAAAGCGCCGCTTGAATCTCCTTATGTTGGAGGGAGGTTGTTGGTATTGTAAAAGACTTCGTTTCTTAAGATTCGGATTCGTCACTCTCTAATGTCATTTGACTCTTTTGTTGTCCAGACCCTCAGTAGGGAACTGTCGATGATAAATATTAGGGCCTAAGCTAACTTTAAAAGACCTGTATGTTGTATTTTTTAATCACCACCCACATATTTTATGTAACAGTTAAGTTTATTTTGAAATAGAATACACCTGTTAACCCATCAGTAGGCTAGAACCCCCCCCCCAAAAAAAAAACATTCATAATATCAGAAAAAAAGTTAGCCTACAACAGGTACTTATAAGAGGAAGAGGCATTTAAAGGTAAAAGAAATCATGAATATCAAGCCCTAACGGCAGGATGAAAGTCGTTTGTTAATTTTTAAGAAAGCGCAATTTGCACAGGAACCAAAAATGAAACCACTCTAGTCTTACAAAGTAAACCGACACGAGACCCTTTTTGTCCTATATGATCCTCAGTTCAGTAATTTCTTTCTGTATCTGATATCCCTGTAAATACTAGCTACTTTTAGCATGAAACCTTGCTGCATGAATTGTGAAAAATTAAATTTGTCCTGTACAATGACTCAAATAATTTTTTTAACTGCAGTTTTGTAACTGAAAGTTTGGTTTAATAAAGCACATCACTTTAAATATGACAGCTTAAGTCTTGTGTTAAACGAAGTCTAATTTGGACCGCGGTTTAAGAAATCATTGGACCTCCAGAAAAATGCCGTTTATTTGAGGGTCAACGTATTTAGCGCGAAAGTACTAATTGGGAACACTATTTTTACGTCTCCAAATGTAGCGGGAACCCGCCATTTGCAGGGCAAAGGCAGTACCTTTATTTCTCTGTCATTTTAAGACCCTGAGTGTTGGTCCGGTCCCGGGAATCGAACCCTTGACCTCCTACTCCGCAGTCAAGCCCTCTACCGACTGAGCTAATACTGCAGCTGCTGCAGTTTACAAACCAAAAAATACGTCGTTTGTAACGAAACGAAAAAAGCTTTAGATTTGAGGACGAGTACGGGATTTAACTTAAAGTTTTTGT